TGATATGAGTGATGCACTCGTTGTGAAGAACGAAGGAGAACGGACAGGTGGTTCTCGCGCGTCCGATGCTTCGGGTACTTCCGATGGCCGTGTAAAATGCCAACATTGCGGCAAGATAGGCCACTTGAAGGAGTCATGCTACGACTTGATAGGATGGCCACCCCGCAACAAGTCCAATAATCAACGTGAACGTGGTGATCGGAGACGTCGCAATACCTCTGATGGAACTCCCAAGGCTGCGCAAGCTGAGACGGATGTGAGTCTTGTTCCGGGGTTCACGATGAACCAGCTCGAGCAGCTAAAGAAGTTTTTTGGGACATCATCTCCGCAAACAGACCCTTCGGCACACATGGCAGGTACTTCCTTCTGTGATTCCGAATGGTTAATTGTTCAGGTTGTAATGAACATATAACTAAGGATGCAAATTTGTTGAGTCGAGATGGTGTCACTCAAACTAGTCAGCCGGTCAGGATACCTAACGGCGATAGTGTTCCTGTCAAAAGTGTGGGTTCGGTCAGTTTATCTACAGGTTTGAAGTTGGACCGAGTTCTACACGTACCAGAGTTTCGCTGCAACTTGTTGTCTGTCAGCAGGTTGACCAAAGATAATGATGTAGCTTTGATTTTTCTCCGTGATATGTGTGTTCTTCAGGACTTACGCTCCAGGAGCGTGATTGGGAAGGGGATTCTCCGTGACGGTCTCTATTACTTGAAGCTGCTTGGGAGTAATGATAACTATGTGTTTGCTGCGGATGGTAAAGAGAAGTTGACTGCAGAACTGTGGCACAGCCGTCTCGGCCACCCTTCGTCGGCAAAGCTATCTCATCTTAGTCATATTGTTCCTTTTTCGACAGCTTCGACTAAGGAACCTTGTCATTCTTGTTTACGAGCAAAACAGAGTCGGTTACCTTTTCCTCATAGTAGTATCAAGACTTCGGATTGTTTTCAGTTATTGCATATGGATATTTGGGGAGGTTATCAGATGGCTTCTCTCAGTGGAGCACATTATTTTTTGACAGTGGTTGATGATTTCAGTCGAAGTGTCTGGGTTTATTTGATTAAGTTTAAGTCAGAAGTGGGTCGATGTATTGTTGCGTTTTGTGAGATGGTGCAAACTCAGTTTGGCAAGAAAGTGCAACGTATTCAAGCAGATAATGGGCACGAATTTTCAACAACATCTATGCGTGAATACTATGAGAAGTCTGGTATTGTCTTACAAACTAGTTGCACCGATACTCCCCAACAAAACGGGGTTGTTGAACGCAAACATCGGCATATTCTTGAAACTGCACGCGCTCTGCGTTTTCAGGCAGGTCTTCCACTTCGTTTTTGGGGTGAATGTATTCTCACCGCCACATACTTGATCAACAGGATGCCCACCGTAGCTACTGGCAAAACGCCTTTTGAGGTGTTGTTCGGTAAGACTGCTTCGTACGATCATCTCCGTGTGTTTGGTTGTCTTGTTTATGTGAAAGATACTCACAGTAATCTTCACAAGTTTGCCGATAGAGGTCGCGCAGGGGTTTTCTTGGGTTACGCCGCGACTCAAAAGGGCTACAAAGTATATGATTTGCTCAGTCGTAAAGTCGTCGTCTCTCGTGATGTTATCTTCCACGAGACATATTTCCCGTTTCAAGCACAAGACCCGCGGGAATTTCATTGGGTACCACCAGCAACATTTATTGATGATGTGGTTGACCAGCCCAAGTCAGACGAGCATGTCCCTCTCACCGAAGTTTCCAGTTCTCGTCCTTTGGGGGCGCAAATGGGGACACCTCCGCCTGGAAATCAGTCGACACCTCCCCAGGCCACGGATGCAAGTCGTGATGCATCCCCCTCTCCGCCTCCAGCAGCTACTAAAACTCCTGGGAAGCAGCCGACACCAGTTGCTGTCGCGCCGCGTCGTGGTGAGCGTGAAAGAAGACCTCCACGCCATCTCGTCGATACTTATGAAACAGACTTACAGTCTGCATCACACGTGCGCTACCCGCTGTCCAATCACGTTTCATATGCACGCATGACGCCTGAGTATCGTGCGTACTTGGCCGAGGTTGACAAGATTCGTGAGCCAACCTCCTTTCGTGAAGCCATCCGTCATGCTTGCTGGCGGGAAGCAATGGCCAAGGAAATTGCCGCCTTGGTCGCCAATGGTACATGGAGTTTGATTACTCTCCCTCCGGGTAAGCGGTGTATCGACTGCAAGTGGGTGTTTAAGGTCAAGTATCGACCTGACGGTTCAGTAGAACGCTACAAAGCTCGCTTAGTCGCAAAGGGATACACGCAGATTGAAGGTGTAGATTTTCATGATACTTATGCGCCGGTAGCCAAGTTAGTCACTGTTCGGTGTTTGCTCGCGGTCGCAGTCAGTCGAGGGTGGTTCATACATCAGCTAGATGTAAACAACGCGTTTCTTCATGGAGACTTGTCGGAGGAAGTCTACATGAAGCTTCCTCCCGGTTTTGCTGGTCCAGGTGACAATCGTGTCTGTCGCCTTCAGAAGTCCATCTATGGGCTTCGTCAAGGCTCGCGTAATTGGTATCAAAAATTCACCAATGCGCTTGGCGAGCTCGGTTTCCGCGCATCCCCAGCGGATCATTCACTGTTTGTTTATCGTCGAGATGATGTTTTTGTCGTTGCACTAATCTATGTGGATGATGTCATCCTGGCTGGAGATAACATGGCCTTCATTGATCATGTAAAGCAGGTTCTTGATCAAAAGTTCAGCATCAAGGATCTCGGTGTTCTTCGTTATTTCTTGGGCTTGGAAGTTGCTCGTTCTCCGCGTGGAATTGTCCTCAGTCAGAGGAAGTACGTCTTGGATATCCTTACCGAGGCTGGTGTACTTGGTTCTCGTCCTAGTGCGTTTCCGGTGGAACAGAATCATCAGTTAACTAAACCGGGTTTCTCTCCCCTGGTGGATGGTTCTTCTTACCGTCGGTTGATCGGACGATTACTCTATCTCACGGTTTCTCGACCCGACATCACCTATGGGGTCAACATACTCAGTCGCTTTGTCCATGCTCCGACTCAACCCCACATGGACGCGGCGATGAGGATTCTTCGGTACTTGAAGACTTCGCCAGGTCAGGGTCTTTACTTTCCCGCCGAAAATTCACTGGAGCTAGTTGCTCATTGTGATGCAGATTGGGGCGGGTGTCAGTCTACTCGTCGGTCTACCAGTGGTTTCTTTATCTCCCTTGGTTCGGCTCCCATTTCCTGGCGTACTAAGCAATAGAAAGTGGTTGCCCGGTCATCTGCTGAAGCAGAGTATCGTGCTATGGCTAGCACGGTTAGTGAAGTTATCTGGTTACGATGGCTTCTTCAAGAGTTAGGAGTCCCGCAGTCTCAGCCGACTCCTCTCTACTGTGACAATCAGGCTGCTCTTCACATTGCAGCTAATCCTGTGTTCCATGAGAGGACGAAGCATGTGGAAATGGATTGTTATTTCGTTCGAGAACGGTTCATTTCTGGTGACATTCTTCCACTCAAGGTCAGTTCTCATCTTCAGGTTGCTGATTTGTTCACCAAGGGTTTGGGAGCAGATCGTTTCCGTTTCTTACTGTCCAAGCTGCACGTTCGTGATCTTCACCGTCCAGCTTGTGGGGGCGTATTGGATCAGGATCAAGTTGAGCCCAAGTCAGCCCATGTGGGCTCGGCTGTGTTTACAAGTAGTTGCAATGTTGAGACTTGTACGGCAAGGAGTCCTTGTCCTAGGTTGAATTGTAATTCTCATTCATGCTGTGTAAACCTAGGAGATGAGGACTATAAATGCATTGTAGGCCATTCGGCCAATGTAACCTAGCCGCATAGCAATAATAAGATCAAGTCGGAGAGGCAGTCCTCTCCCGTGGATTAGTCTCGATCAATCAATCGATCGAGGATACCACGTAAAAATCGTTGTGTCCTGTGTTGTTCCAATTCCGCATCATCAAATTCTACATGGTATCAGAGCCTGGTTACGATCCAGGGACCTGTGGGTTACGATCCAGGGACCTATTGGATCAGGATCAAGTTGAGCCCAAGTCAGCCCATGTGGGCTCGGCTGTGTTTACAAGTAGTTGCAATGTTGAGACTTGTACGGCAAGGAGTCCTTGTCCTAGGTTGAATTGTAATTCTCATTCATGCTGTGTAAACCTAGGAGATGAGGACTATAAATGCATTGTAGGCCATTCGGCCAATGTAACCTAGCCGTATAGCAATAATAAGATCAAGTCGGAGAGGCAGTCCTCTCCCGTGGATTAGTCTCGGTCAATACTAGACCGAGGATACCACGTAAAACTCTCGTGTGTTCTCGCGTTCTTCGTTTGCGTAGGCTAGATTTATTATGCCGTACAAGTCTCAACATTGCAACTACTTGTAAACACAGCCGAGCCCACATGGGCTGACTTGGGCTCAACTTGATCCTGATCCAATACCCCACAATACGGATTTCGCAGAAGCTGACAAATTCCCCCTTGACTAATCTCAAGAGTTAGAATCGTGAGGTACAATGCACCTTTCCCAATCCGCTCACCAAACGGAAAAATAGGATGGCAATTTCGACCTGACTCGTTTTACTCGATCTGTTTGACCTGTTTTGGGGCGGGTCCGACTCGCCCCAAAGGCGGGGCGGGGCGGGCATGGGTAGTCTCATCGACCCGACCTGTCCTGACCCGCCCCATTCTCGATCTATTCTTGTCTAAATTACATGAAATCTTAGTTAAATTACTTTGAATTTTACTTTTATCGCATCATATTTTAACTATAATAAAGTTGTAAATTAGTGAAAACCTCAATTTCTCCAATAATTTAACTACAATTGTCATAAAATTATTTATTTTCTTAATTTTATAATAAAAATAACGAATATTTCTAATGTTTTTTAAATAAATTGCATACCCGTCGACCTGCCCCGACCCGCGACCCGACCAGGACCCGCCCTGCCACGGACGGGTCTGGATACCAATAAAACCCGCCCAGACCTGGCCATTGTCATTCCTACGGAAAAGGGAAGCAGAGATGCAGGAAAATTGAGCTGGAAAAGTAAAGTCAATGGTATCATCGCCGCCGCACTTTAATTTCTCTCCACAAAATCGACGACCGGCCCAGAAATTTTTCATCGCCGGAAACACACAGACACCTTATTAACTGTCTCACAATGATAATAATAATCACCGGAATATCGGGGATTTCTTTGTAAAAATTAATAATTTTTTTATTTCTTGTCATCTTTTTTGTCGTCCTTCTTGGGCTCGCCGCCACCGTCCTTCTTTTCTTCCTTCTTCTCTTCCTTGGCGGGACCGACGGAGACGATGTCCACTTTCCCCACTTTCTTCAGCTTCTTCACCACCGCCACCGTGTCCATCAAACCGATCACCGTCAGCTTCTGCTCCTTCGTATCCGCCGCTATCGAATCCACCCCTACCATACCACCACAGGATTCAATCAATCTCTTCAATCAATCAGCTCATTCCAAAAAATCCCGAAGCAAGAAGGCGGGGGGGAAAAAAAAGAAAGAGGAAATTTCGGGCGTACCGAAGATATCAGCGGCGGCCTCGATCGCCTTCTGCTTCGTCTTCTCGTCGGTCATCGTCAACACCTTCAGCACCAGTTTCTGCTGAAATCCCCCGATTTGAAGAAAACAAATTCCAAGCTCAGAATCCGATCGCCGACGGTACGAAATCAATTGAAAGACAGAGGAGGTAAGAGTTTGGATTATCGATTACCTGAGCCATGGCGGCGATCGGTTACGGAGAGGAAAGGGAGGATGGAGAGAAACCAGCAGGCAGCAGCTGAATTGATTGCTTGGGAGATGATGAGAAAACGAGATTCTTACTTCTCTTTTGTGAAGAACAGAGAAGAATTGAAAATCGGGGGGGCTGGGGGAAGGTATGTGTATTTATTTATTTAGTTCTATATAGTCAAGAATGGTGGGGTTTGACAGAACAAGAAAAAGTTGCTTAGTTATTATGACTTTAGCTAATGGTGTGAATGGTGGTCATAAATCCACACTTTCCCTTTGTGTAATCAAACCACTTACTATATAATCGAGTTGTCCTTTCCCACTTAGTGTTCATGTTTTTACTAATAAGTTCTTTTTCTCTTTAATACCTTTGTTATTTGGGGGAATTTATTATTTAAGGAATATTAATGGTACTTGCTACTCGGTTCATACAGAGATTGCCAGTTAGTTATTTTAGTCTTTGAGTTTCTAGGGAAGCTTCTGCCTTTTCTTAAAACAAATTAACCAAAGCAACGGCATGGTAGTGGCCTTTCCGTGCGTGCATGAGTTCATTAAGTAAACAACCTTTGAAATCGACTACATGATAAACTATTGGACCAGGGATGGCAATTTATGACCTGGCTCGCTCGTTTTATTGGATCTGTTTAATCTGTTTTGGGGTGGAGCGGGCATGGGTATTCTTCTTGACCTGGCCTACCCCATTTTTTACCCGTCTTTACCTGTTATACATGTAATTTTACTCAAATTACTTACGATTTTACTTTAATTACATCATATTTTAGCTGTAATGAAGTTGTACATAGGTGAGAACCTCCATTTTGCGAATAAGTTTAACTAAAATGTTTGTCCTGTTTTAGTTTGTCTCTTTGTTTTTAATGAAAAAAAAGAGTATTTCTAACGTTTTCCTTTCAAATATGTGTCGGCCTGCCCTGACACGTACTCTGTGGTGAATTAATCGACCTGGACCTGACCTGTTACTGGGTGGGCATGAGTATCGATATACACGCTCCGGACCTGCCTCATTTTCTAGCTGTAATGATCTACTGTTGAGCCCCCAACAAATTGTAGCTTTTATTATTGCAGTGATTGCAGTAGAATTTTATTTGTGACAACAGAGATACAATCACAATAGCATGAAAATAAAAAAAAATATGAAAACTTGTATAGTTTATGATTTTGAGAAATCATCAAAGTTGACAGCAAACATAAATGGGTTTAGTTAATTTTTTATACCTTGTTTAAGATCAATTTTGAGACTAATACAAAAGTAGGAAAGTAATGGAAGGAATGATATGACATTAGAGGTGGCAATTGGATCGGATTCGTGGATTGGATTGGTGGATCCATGGATCAAATGGATTGGATCCAATGGATTGGTAGATTGATCCATGAATCCAAATGACATCCAAGGCTTGGACCAAAATGTAAAATTTGAAAAGTTTTGGTATTAAAATGTCATAATGAAAAATTTTAGGTACCAAGATGTAATTTTCCAATGATATTTTTCTTATAAAAATATAAATTTTAGGTACCAAAATATAAAATATAAAAAATATAGGTACCAAATCGTAATTTATCATTTGGATCCATGGATTGATCCATGAATCCACCAATCCAATTGGATTTGGATCAAATGGATTGGATTAGGTGGATGGATTGGATTGGATTCATGAATTTGGATCCTAATTGCCACCTCTATATGAATGTTGAGTTTTTAAAAATTTGAAAGAGAAAAAGATATGAAAATAAATGGCGATAAGGTTTCGGGGATAAGGATAAAAAATGAAGAGAGTAAAATATATTAAAAGTAGAGGTGACAAATTGATTGAATCCATGGATGTTAGAAACACATTTATTGCTAATTTATGTCATTTGAGATTATTTATCGGTTTGAGATGTTTTGGTCTTGTTTGGGGAATTTGGGAAATAATTAGTAAGTAGTTTGTCGTATAACTCTATAATCCGTAATTAGAGAGATACTCATTAAGCAATTACTTACAGAACCAAATTATCAAACCCTAATCTCCTTCTCTCTCTTTCCCCAACTCTCCCTATGCCCTCCTCTCTTCTCCCATAGCTACGGCAGCAACTATCTCTCTTCCTACCCTTGTTCTTCAAAATTTTCCCCATTCTAAATCACTAGCTAGATCAATCCCTAATTGATTTAACTAATTTTCCCAATCGTACACGAATCCGAGAACTCATTGATCTTGGTTTCTAACAATAGATTGGTGGTTTGGATTGATATATCCATGAGTAAAGTGGATTGGATCAAATGAATTAGTGGATTCGTGGATCCAAATGACATCCAAGTTTTGGACCAAATATGTAAATTTTGGAAAGTTTAGTTTCTAAAATATCATAATTAAAATTCCAGGAACCAAAACATAATTTTCCAATTATATTTTTTCTAAAAAAATTTTAATTTTAGGTACCAAATTGTAAAATATAAAAATTAAGGTATTGTATTTTTTTATTTGAATCTATGGTTCAATCCATAAATTCACCAATTCAATTTGATTGAACTTAATTGGATTGAATTAGTTGAATATTTAACTGGAAGATTGGATTGGTTAATTGAATTATAAATTGCTAATTGAAAATGAATCTAGTTAGATTTGATCATAGACGTCCTTGAATAAAATGACTCCAATAATCAGTAGGATCTCAAGAAAAACAGTTTTTGCAAACAGCAACTATGGTACTTAAATAATTTCACTTGAGGCTATTTTTTAGGCTTATTAGGAGCCCAGTTTATGCGAAACGGGTAACGAATGTACTAGCTTTAGGCCCACATAAACAGCCCACCCGCTACCCATACTTTTCTTATATTGGACCCAGCCTCGTTAGAATTGGGCGTCTGTGGCCGAAAAATTAGTCTTTAACTACCTGACCCACTTTTGTTTCTTTGTGGACCCGACTTACCTCTACCTGCCGTTACTCGTTAAAATGGAGTCATGAACACATATTTCCAAAAGGAAGACAATTTGGTAATCAACAGCTTGGAAAATTTATTTTTTATTTTGAAGTCATAAAAGACACGATAATGATAACAATTTCTAAAATAACTAAAAAAAGTTGTTTATATGACAATAATTTACCTGAATTATCAGAACGTTCAGATATGCGGACACTAAAAAACACGAGTACCGGTGAGAACCGCTAGTGACATTGAATTCCAAGGTCAATGTCGATGTTGCATGCTTTGAAGGAACCAACTCGAGTTTTTGGACTGGTGGTTAGGGATAAGGAGAACTTTCATTTCGCGACGGTGAGGATATCTATGGTTCAGTGGTCACCTAAATTGGTTGAAATTCATACCACACGTTTTGGTCTGAGGGTGGGGGAAGACTTTGGTTTCTCGATCAGCTGTAATTGAGGCAGATTGCCTTACCGGGGTTCATATGTTGCAAAGAGAGGAGATATCTCTACTCGCTGAAGGCGATGTATGGGCAGAAGTTCGAGAATCTCACGCTCGTTTCGAAATACTTTCGATCTGATTTTGGGGTCGAGCCAATAACCAGGCTACCCATATTATGGCTCACACCGTTCGTGGTTGTGACCAACATGATACTTGGACCTCGAGACCTCCTATTTTTCTAGTCACTTAGTTATTATCAGACTCAAATTGAAATAATACGAACTTTTACATCAAACAAAATTGTGCTGCAAATTGAAAGCCTTACAATGTTGTTAGGTTTGATTGGATCCGTTCAATTTGATAGTTAGTCATGAATTAGGGCATTGGAGCTATAGGGGTCGTTTGGATGGATCATTCTCAAAATGAGTCAATTTAGATCAAAAGACTCATTTTCGAAAATGAGTCATTTTGATGAGGAAATTTGTCTAGAATGTATCGTTTGGAACAGGTTGTGAGATGGTGAAATCTATATGAGTTATTTTGAGTAAATACCAATTTACCCTTGTCTTCTCCAACTTTCTCATCCTTTGTTTTGCTGCAAGTTTTTCCTCTTTTTACTGGTTTTCTTTATGGATAGTTCATTATGCACACAAATTATTATCAGAACCTCTCTTATTCACCAATTAACTCACATGCAATCAGTTTTTCAAGTGACTTAGAAAGGTTGAGCGTTGGAGAAAGCTGAAACAAGTGGATTTTCACCCGTCTTCTGCAAATTTCTCGACCCTGTTTATGTCGAGCTTTTGTCTTTCTGGTTTCGATTTTTTGTACAACAGCGATTCACACGAAGAGGAGGAATATGTATTGATAACGTGAATCAGGCGCTCCGCTTTAGAAGCCCAGAAACTCAACTCAACGGCGTTGGAGAAACCCCTTTCCTCATCTCTGCTGGCGATGAGTCATCTCTTTACGGCGGCGGCGGCGGCGGCGAGCTTCGAGACTCGCCCGTCAACAAAAAGATGTCGGAGACTCGCCATCGAAGCCTAGATCGTGAGCAGAAAGGGAAGAGAAGACTGGCGATTTTGTGAATCGCCATTGTTGCTCGTCTGCAGAGAGAAGGAAAATAGAAAAAGAGAAGACGATTCTTAAAAAAAAAAAAGAGAAGATGAAGGGTGTCATTGAAGACAGAAGAGAAAGAAAACTGTGATGGGTAGTTGAAGAATCAGTAAATGGGTTTTTGGAATTGAGGTTTAATCTTCTCATATTCGTGAGAGAGGGGGGGATAGAGAAAGGGGGGAGAAGAAAGGAAGGAAAGAAGAAAGTTTTCGTGATTGGTTTCAGCAGAGGGTGAGAGAGAGGGGAAGGAAAGAAAAGGGTAACTTTGGGAAAAGGAAACCAAAAATGAGTCAATTCACAAAACCTCCCTCCTACCCAAGTAATTGCAATTGACCCAAAATGAAGCAATCTACATTTCCTCATACAGAATTGGTTCATTTCATTTTTTGGTGGCCAAACGTGCCAATGTAGTCCAATTGCTTCATTTTGAGACAATTAAGCACAATTGACTCACCAGAAAGTTCCATCCAAACGACCCCATAGTTCCCAATACGTGGATTAATACAAATACGCAATGGAAACCCAAGTCCCCACCCTACTATTTTGGTGAAAAAGTTAAAAAAGTCCTATCCAAACACCACTTAAATAATAGACCATGAAGAAAACAAGAGCAGAGACTCAGACGATTACCTTTTTCCACTGGGGTGGTTGAGGGTCGTGAAAGGTCGGTATCTTTGATTAAATTGTTTCTCTCCCCATTTCCAACTAAAAGGCTGTTGGTGTACTTGTTTTTGGCTCCTTTTCTATAAAAAGGGCTCGAGGCCTATTGCTATAACTTGCCGGTGTTGCTAATCTGGCTTTCGCAACATAATACAGGGCTATAGTTTAACTCATTCCAACAGTTAAATCGGTTCGGAAATATATAGGGTCAGACATGACGAGAAGTCGAGTGTGCGAACGGTTCGGGTCATTTCTGTGAAACGGTATTGGGGGAAGAAAGAACACTCGTCAATCCAAACATATATCATTGTCGAATGTGTAATGTATAACCACGTTATTTATATCTTTCTCAATCATCTAATTAGAAATTTGGCGATACCGTTTCAGCTTCATGTGTTATGCCAACTTGCCAAGGGAAAAAATTGTGATTATAATGCAGGAGAAACAACGACAAGGTGGAGGAAATGGCCCGGAGGGCGGAGATCTCACTGTACTTAAAAAAACAAGAAACAAAAAAACAGAACGACGAATCAAAACTCCACACATTTAACAAACTTCTCTGCTACAACAAGCGGACCTCCTAAAACCCTACTAAATACACTGAAGAAAAGACAATCTAAATGACCTGTCTGTCACTATGAAGCTCTAGGTTGGTGCCCTTCACACCCCTCCCTCCTTTCCCCATTCGTTTTCCGAAATTATAAAACTCAAAAGCTGGTCCAAAGCTTCACTTTCCCCATCTTCTTCTTTGCCGTTTCCCCCCCATTACTTAAATAAATCCCTCCCTGAAAGTAGCCTCTCTGTCACGGGGAAAAGCTCAGCTTCCCCACTTTCTCTCTTGACAATTTATGTCTCTGTCTGTACTATAGCACACTTGGGATCCAGCATCTTCCTCTCCTTCCTTCCTTCCCCTGTTCCTCAATCCCTTCGATTTGCTCGTCTTCTCTGCAATTGATCTTTACCCCCACCTCTGATTCCTAACCCAGTTCCTGAAATCGAATTGGAAGTTGAATCGGCCATCTGGAGGGGAAGGGTAGCTTCATGGCGGTGACGGAGCGCTGAACGGCGGCCAGTTCGGTAGAGAGGAGAAACTAAAACATGCAGCTGAGTTTGCAGAGGTGGTTCGGATCCGGAGCTTTCCGTCAATTGGTGGAAACGATCTGCCGGCCGTTAATGAAGCTGCCATCGAGATCGTCGGCTGTCATCTTCTCCGTTCTGTTCCTCCTCGGCGGCGCGTTGATCTCCACTCGCCTCCTCGACTCCAATGTAAGCACACACACACAAAAAAAATCAATAATTGCTGCCGTTTGCTTTTTTGACTTTTCGCCTCGACACCTGCCGGGCCCGATACGGTGCCGTATTGACTCCTCCTTGTCTGCGAGCTACCGCAAACCAACCAGAGACCGTCGGTGGTCGGACGTCGTTTTCACGTGCAGCGATCCCCGGCGCGTCATCCGCTGTAATTACATTATTAATATAAATTAGTATCATTTGTAATAATTATTATCTATTTAATTCATTTCCCTCATTCTTCGTCGCAGGCGTTCAGCGGCTCGGCTCGGGAACCGGAGCCGGGGAAGGCTCTAACGGCCAGCAGAATCACGCTTCCCGACAAAATCCCGAAAAAGCATCTCGAGATTCCACTGGACTGCACTGCACTCAACCGCACCGGAACCTGTCCGTCGAACTACCCGCGCGCGATCGAGGAGGAGGAACCCGGCCCACGGTCCACGTGTCCGGAGTACTTCCGTTGGATCCACGAGGATCTTCGGGCCTGGGCCCACACGGGGATCACGAGGGAGGCGGTGGAGACGGCGAAACGGACGGCGAACTTCCGGTTGGTAATCGTGAACGGGAAGGCTTACGTGGAGAGGTACCAGAAGTCGTTTCAGACGAGGGATGTATTCACGCTTTGGGGGATTCTCCAGCTGCTGCGGCGGTACCCGGGAAAGGTGCCGGACTTGGAGCTGATGTTCGATTGCGTTGACTGGCCGGTGGTCGGAAAATCGGGCGGCTATGGTGAAAATGGGCCGAACACCACCGGCCCACCGCCTCTGTTTCGGTACTGCGGGGATGATCGGACGCTCGATATCGTTTTCCCCGATTGGTCGTTTTGGGGATGGTAAGTAGAAACTAGAAAGTTAGAAACCCTTTTTGGTCTCATTTTCTGTGGAGTTAATTTTCATTACAATGTAGTTAATTATGGGTTTTGATTAATTGGTGCATTTAGGCCGGAGATCAACTTAAAGCCATGGGAGGGTTTGCAGAAGGAGCTCAGAGAGGGGAACACAAAGAAGAGATGGATGGAAAGAGAGGCTTATGCGTATTGGAAAGGGAATCCGGCGGTGGCGGAGACGAGGATGGACCTTATGAAATGCAATGTCTCTGAAGAACACGACTGGAATGCTCGCGTCTTTGCTCAGGTGAGATTCTTAGTCAAATGCACAGTTGCTATCGCGTCGTGACTCGTGGGGTTTATGGTAGTTTCGGATAACATCGGGTTGGAATTAGATCGAGTAATGTGTTCGGTTTGGAGCGATTACGAGTTGCAAGTTGTTGCTTGTACCAGTTAATCAGGGTCTATATGTGAATTGGCATTACTAATTTTAGATGCAAGCTTGATTGAGATTGGAAGAAGTGATTGTTAAGTAAATTGTTTGTAAACATTGTAACCAATCTGCAGCAGATGAAATGGTAGTGATTAATGTTGCTAATGACTTCTTGTCTACTATCTTACTTGAAATGGGCAAAACATTGAAGTTGGTTATGGTGGGCAGGATTGGGTTAAAGAATCACAGCAAGGGTACAAGCAATCGGACTTAGCCAACCAATGCTTACACAGGTCAGTTAATAACCATTAACCACATCCTGTAATACGATATGATCACAATTCACAACCCTTTTTTGGTTACATTCTTGACCAGTGCTATGTGTTTGTGACATTTCAGGTACAAAATCTACATCGAAGGTTCGGCATGGTCGGTTAGCCAGAAGTACATTATGGCCTGCGACTCCCTCACCCTGATCGTAAAGCCACATTACTACGACTTCTTCACCAGAAGCTTGGTCCCTGTTCACCATTACTGGCCTATACAAGAACACGACAAGTGCAAATCGATCAAGTTCGCAGTCGATTGGGGCAACAGCCACAAGCACAAGGTAAGCAAATAGCGTAGCTCCAAACTCTCAACTTAGTCAGCAGGGTAGTAATGTGCGTTTCAAGAACTTAACTTGGAGCGGGACCCTTTTCGCTGTAGGCTCAAGAGATAGGGAAGGCGGCGAGCTCATTCATTCAGGACGAGTTGAAGATGGACTACGTGTACGACTACATGCTCCATCTCCTGACTCAATACTCGAAGCTACTGACGTTCAAGCCGGTTGTTCCGAAGGGAGCTGTTGAGCTGTGTTCGGAATCAATGGCCTGCAATGCAGCTGGGTTGGAGAACAAGTTCATGATGGAGTCGCTGGTGAAGGGTCCTTCGGAGAGGGCTCCGTGCACGATTCCTCCGCCTTACGACCCTCCATCGCTCAGTGCGGTTTTGAGGAGGAATTCGAATTCGATCAAGCAGGTCGAGTTATGGGAGAAGAGGTACTGGGACAATCAGAACAAGTAGCACTGTAGGCTGTAGCAACAGCAGCAGGCTTAGAGGAATAGGGTGCTATTAGGGATGGCAACAAAACCCGAACCCACGGGTACCCACCCGACCCAACCCGGTCAACGCGGGTAAAATCCGTGTTGACGGGTTTTGGGCCGGGTTTGGGTTTAAACCCGTTCACTATTCATTGGGTTGGGTTGGGTTTGGGTTTAGGTAAACCCGGCCCGTGGGTACCTGCCCACCCATATAATTAATTTTTTCGGTATATTTAATATTCTAAACAACTAATCTTATTTATGTTTGTGGAGACATGTCTAATTTTTTCTTTTTAATTGTGTAGAATGAAGTTGATGTTATGGAGTGGAGAGTAAAGAAACTTAATTGAAAGGAAGAAGCTTTCAATTAAACATGTTATTTATGGATAATTTGTGGTTTGCTTCAATTTTCTTGAGTTTTCTAGATTGGTGTTGAACAATTTGTATAGTTAATTTGTGATTTGCTTGAATTTTCTAGAATGGTGTTTTATATATGGATAATTTGTATTGAGAGATTGATATTTGACTTTAATTTTGATAAGAACTTGTAATTGTAAATTTTTTACGACAAAACCCGTGGGTACCCATGAGCCCGCGGATACCCAACGGGTTGGGTTGGGTTTTACCCCGGGTTTTTTTCAAAGATAAACCCATGGGTTTGGGTTTGGCAAAACCCGACCCAACCCGACCCATTGCCATCCCTAGGTGCTATACAATATACAGAGGGGATTAGTTTTACTTTTTGTTATATGTGAAATCATTGGGATCATAGTAATTCCATTATTTGTACCAGTTTCAATAGTGGGCTCTACATATTTGAGTAGATGGGCCGTTATGTTTGGAGCCTTTCTAAATGGGCCCATAGAAAAACGAACCAGATCTCGCCGGGTTTCCACCAAGCATCACATCACCTCTTCCTAAAATGCTCTCCCATCACTGCGGGTGGAAACCGGTAAGGTATCCACCCAATACCGAAATTCCAAACATCAAATAGTACTTTAAACTCTATCACAATTTTAGCTCAAACTAAATTTTTCCCAATCCCAAAAAATTTATTTGATATCAGTATATACCAAATATGAAATTAATTTCCTTCAAAATTACAAATAAAATATACAAACGAAAATACTAGCTCCACAAACCATTTTCAAAAACATATAAAACCAAACAATGGTGTAGTATCAAGACTCGTGCAAAAACAAATGGGAAAAGCCCTCAGGTATAATAATAACACACTAGAAAAATGTGGTGTCTAATAAGTACATTGACATACTAAACCAACAAGCTAAAACATGAAATGGCTAAGCAACCCATAAACACTACAAGTAACAAAATGAGCTTGGTATGGGTTGTCAAATAGTGAGGGAAAGTGCAAACTATTTGTAAAGAAGCAAAGCACAATAGAAAGACTTTCAATCTCGTGGTAACTGAGACAACAATCAATTGTGTATCGTTCATGCATGTGTTGGGTTTTATCTCTATTGTTTGTTATAATCTCTGAACAAATGTTGCATCATATAATTGTGTGGTAACTGTTATAAACCAGTTGGTCCCAATAAGTCGAGTTGCTCCCTCAAACGAAAGCCAACTCATGGGCTTGAAATTTGCACAGATCATCATACCTTGTGCTTTGATCAACAGTTAATATTGGGTGTTATGAAGATTCGAACACACGATTACTTGGTCAAACCAACTTTGATACCATGTTATAAACCAGTTGATCTCAATAACTAGAGTTGTTGAGAAAAAATTATATTGGATCTTATAATATCACTCTCTAACAGTAACTCCTATATCATGTATGCTGTGAACTTTGAATAGCACTACCGGAAAAGGTAAGATAAACTTAAATACTTAATGATGCGTAGCGGTTTAACAAGCGGGTAGATGTATTCAACTTATGGTCAACTAAATAGCTGTGTCAACAGTATGCTTTGCTTGCCAAGCTGTGTTTAGGTGACATGTAGTGTAGATTGCTTGTCTGAAACACAATATTTGCAGATTTAAATGAACATTTCTGAAAACTTAGCACTCTGTTAATAGCAACAACTTTGCCTGTTTCTTTTGATAATCCGCCTTAGATTGCCTCTCAAAAGTGTATATGCAACAATTAGGCAACATGGCTGAATCAATCAAACCCATGAAAGAGCTTTTAGTAACAGCACTACTGGGTTCCTTGTCTTCAGCAGCAAACATCAGAGCATTAAGAGACAGTCATGAATCAATCAAACCCATAAAAGAGCATTGGTGACAACACTACTGGTTTTTCTTCCTTTCTTCAGCAGCAAAGCTAAGAACATTAAGGCAGGAGAAGTGACTTTGATGACAAAGAAGAGAAGAGTATGTATAACATGACAAAATGAAAAAATTACATCAGTATAAGAAACTCACGGAAACCATGAAACAAAGGGATCCCCGAGAAAAATATAACTAAACCCCATTGATGAACAACACAAAAGGAAAAAGGAAAACAATGGCGGGCGGGGCAAGTAGCAAGGGAAAGGGTGGAAGAGAGGAGAGACGCTCCACAATGAATGAATTTTAATGGTTGCGTGTGAGTGAACATATATTTTTTTCTGTAGCATTATAAAAGACTTGGACAACTTCTGATGATGGAGTCTGTCTGTGTGTGTGTGTGTGTCTAAAGAGCTCGGCCTTTGACAATGTCGAGACTCATTTCGCTGGGATCGGTTGCTTGTAACTCTACTTGAATCCCGTCGAGTTCCCTCTTGAATCTGTCTTTCGAGCTCGCGTACACCATCTTACTTCTCACCTTCGATGTGTCAGGTGCCCTGCAAAAACATTGGAGATAACAAACATTTTGTTTCTTTTTCTGTGGTTCATGGGTTTTCTTCTCTGTGACTTTATAGTTTGTAACGGAAATGTGTTGTGTGTTACCATGCAATGAAGAAGATCTTGCTCTTCTGGCAGTTCTCATCAGTGGTGAAATCGAAGTCATAGACAGCATAACGGCACTCGTTGGCAGGGAGGCACTTGGTGAAATCCTCGTACGTCTCCTCGGGGCTCCCCAGTTTCTCCACAACCACCTGCTGGTTCTCAATCTTGAACACGATGAACCTGTAGTTCCTCTTTGATTTTAGTTCCAGAAACTTCAGCTTGCAGTCGTCTTGGACCGCCATTCCTGATGCCGAGTTCGCCTAATCCATAATGCCCCACCCACAAATCAACATAAACAACAACAACAGACGTCAACATGAACATGGAACCAGGTGGATGAAAACCATGATCATAAGGAAAAAAACAGAGGAAGGAAACAGAGAGATTACCATGGTGATGTCCTGAAAGAAAGAGACAGCCAAAGGAGCTTGGGGAGAAACAAGGAAGAACAAAATGGAAAATGGGATGATGCAAGAGATATGGAGAATGGGAAGGGGGGAATATGGGAGAGATCCTTAATTCTGGGGAGCTATGGCGAGGGTCAGACAAATACCAGGATTAGGGAGATTTTTCAGGGACTAAACTAAGGTTGACACTTCTCTTCACCCTTTTCACCGTTCATCCAACAATGGCCATTTTATGTGTTTTCCTGCAAGTTGTTACACGAAACAGAAGAAAGAATATGTACCCCAATGAATGGTTTTTTTCCTACAAGCTAAATATAGAATCCATGAGCTAAAATTTGCTTCTCTCTACATTGATCGATCATCAGCTAGCCACGTTTCTTGGTAAAAGAAACTAATGATGGATTATAGTTTTTGGACAAGCACAATTGCACAGAACAGCTTTCCAAATGTCTCCCACCAATTATAGTTTGCTTCATTAAAAATTTGGCAGAAGTGTGAAGCAGCACAACACATGAAACAGGGTGGTCATTTCTCAACTTATAAAGATCTGTCAAAGGCAATTCTCTATACATTCTACAAAATTGGCTCGGCTTAATTGCAAGATTGGTCACTCGAATTGCTATAAAATTTCACGTTTGCCACTCAAATTAATTTATTCCATTTATAGTCACTCGAATTAGCTGAACAGTTCAAGTTCGGTCACTCTCCGTTAACCTCCGTTAACTTTGACTGACGTGGCGGTCGTCTCTGACCGTTGACCGTTAAATGTGTGACGTGGCAAATAAAAAATAATTAAAAAATAAAAATTAAATTTTTAGAAATTACACATCATTATAAAAATAATTATAATTATAAAAAATGAAAAAAAAAAGAAATTATCAAAAAAACTTGAACTGCCGCTCCGACCACTCTGTTTCCAGATCGGACTTCCAACATCACTGAATTGGCCGGCGGCATTGGCATCTCGACGACAACCTTCTCGTTCCACTGAGGGTAGCGAACACTTGAAAACGAATTAGCATTCTCACTAGATTGATTCTTGTTACTTCTCCCCCTCCCCTGTTTCTAATGAAAGGAGAATCTAAAAGCTATGGTAAGAGCTATGAATTAATTAATCAATGAACAGGATACCCAAAAAAGCCGATTCTGATGAAGATGGTGTCTTTTTTTTGGAGCAATCCACATTGCTCGAAAGAGTTGCATAAGTTCTGGGAATTTCTTATGACCCAACAAAATTGATTCTTTATGTCCCAAATCTCTGAAATTTTCTACTTTGGGCTCAAACGAGAACACAAGTAAACAAAACCTTGAATTTGACAAAGCAAATTGGTGTTGCTAGGGAAGGGGAAGACTATCCAGGAACTTGAACACTTCTATGAGTTCTGAGACATATGTCAGGAAGCCGGGTGGTTATAAGTCTAAGCAACCATCACCTTCCTACCCTTCAAAGTTCACTACTTTGGGCTCTTTTTTCATCTTGGATTTTGTAGCTTCTTCCTTCGTATCAGATGACTTCCCCGTTTGCTCGCTGCTGTATGCACTACTATCTAGCATAAAATCGTCAGCAAGCTCATCCCCGCTTATAAATTTGATCAGCTTCCCTGTTGGCCTTTCGACATTTCGGAATGCTGAAACAAAAAGAGTTGTATCTAGTTATATATATATGAACATAAATTTGAAACATTTCGACTACATTTCAACCTAATCTTACATTCTTACTTCAGACAGCCAATGCTTCTCCATGACTATTATTAATGGGATTACCAAAGTCGTACATTACCTTGTCTATCATTGGCAGGAGTAAACCATTGATCCTTATCAGGGCAATCTCTAGCCAAATGGGTCACCCCGCTGCATATTTTACAACAACCACCCTGCAAAATACACAATCCACTGGTAAATGTTGGTTTCAAATTGATAGCAGAATAACCTGATCTGTGTTCCAGCAACTACATACAAGAACTGTATTGAGTTGAATTACCTTGGGGTATATCCCATGAGCATTTTTGGGGCAGTCCTTGCTCAAATGTCCTTGTTCATTGCAGATAAAACAATTAGCAAACTTGGTTCCACCTACAAAACAAGAATGTAGAGATTCAGAACCAAAAAGTAACATCAGGGCCTGAGTTCCAACGAGTTCAATCCGATCTATCTTCACGAACCAATATACAAAATATATAGCACACTATATGGATCGAGACAGTTCATCGGAATCTTTGAAGAACCATAATAGTTTGAAAGACTTGGATACGGTAAAGAAGCAAAATAAAAGGGTTATTTCTGATTCACAAAGTGGGTGCTCTAAATGTCGAGTTACGAAAATTACATCTTATCGAGACTGTTTGTAAAATCTTTCAAGAACTATATTACTTGAAAAAATGGAGCTTTAGTCTCACTGACCTCCCTTCGTGATTAAGAACCGAGCTAAAGTAACACAAAACAACGATGAACACTAAAGGAGTACTATCATGTCTATCCAATTCCAATTCCAAGAACTGCAACAGAAACCCGTTTCTAATTTGAGGACTACTACATTGCGTAATGATTGACGAAGCAAAATAAATGCCTCCTTCTGATTCACCAAATGGGTGCTGTAAGTGTCAAGCTACGAAAATTACACTCACAAGCAATGTGCATATTCAACCAAACTTCCACTGCTCTAAAACCGAATTCAAGACACTACAAAAAATCTCACCATCTTGACGAGGCTGAAGGCAGTTAGCCAAGGAATGTCCAGACTCGCCACAATTGTAACACAGCTTAGCACCCACCGTCTCATCTTCCTTATTGGGACACCGCTGGAGGCTATGCCCCCGCTGCCTGCAGAGCAAACATATCTGGCAACCAACCACCACCACCGCCATCAACAACCCACCATAAAAACACAACTCAACCAACCAAATCCAGCTAAATTTCAGGTAATTATGAACAAACCTTGTTCCTCTCCCATTCAGCTTTCTGGGGGCAGAGTTTGGCAATATGGTCCACAGATTTGCATATATAACAAGTATCCCCGGGCTTCATTCCAGGGACTCTAAGGGGCCGCTTCGTGAATTTGCTTCTCTTGCTGGGATCTCTGGGTTCAGTGTTCTTCTTCTTGCGCTTGAACAGGCTCTTCTTTTTCTTCGGCTTGTTGGGGTCCTTCGGCGGCGTCGGCTCTGGCTTTGGGAACAGAGCTGGGTTCTCTTGTTTGAATTTCCTTCGGGCTAATTTCTGCCTTTTGGTCACCATCTTGAACGGAGCTGTGGTCTGTGGAGTTGAAGAGCTAATGGAAACCAATTGCACAGCAGAAAGTGGGAAGAAGAAACAGCGGAGGTTTTAGCCGGGGACTGCTCGGAGAGGTTACTATGAAGAAGGGCTGAAAATGTCAGCCTAGTTAACAGCTGAACGGGTCCGGCCCATGTAGGCCCGTTATACTTCGGCCCTCCAAAAACGGTCTTGTATGTTGTCCAACTTTGCAATTCGTAGAGAAGAAGCAAGCAATAAGCATGCCGACTAGGGATGGCAATGGGTCGGGTTGGGTCGGGTTTTGCCAAACCCAAATCCAAACCCATGGGTTTATCTTTGAAAAAAACCCGGGGTAAACCCACTGGGTTTGAAAAACTCAAACCCAACCCAACCCGTTGGGTATCTGCGGGTTCATGGGTACCCACGGGTTTTGTCGTAAAAAATTTACAATTACAAGTTCTTATCAAAATTAAAGTCAAATATCAATCTCTCAATACAAATCATCCATATATAAAACACCATTCTAGAAAATTCAAGCAAATCACAAATAAACTATACAAATTGTTCAACACCAATCTAGAAAACTCAAGAAAATTGAAGCAAATCACAAATTATTCATAAATAACATGTTTAATTGAAAGCTTCTTCCTTTCAATTAAGTTTCTTTACTCTCCACTCCATAACATCAACTTCATTCTACACAATTAAAAAGAAAAAATTAGACATGTCTCCACAAACATAAATAAGATTAGTTGTTTAGAATATTAAATATACCGAAAAAATTAATTATATGAGTGGGCGGGTACCCACGGGCCGGGTTTACCTAAACCCAAACCCAACCCAACCCGATGAATAGTGAACGGGTTTAAACCCAAACCCGGCCCAAAACCCGTCAACACGGATTTTACCCGCGTTGACCGGGTTGGGTCGGATGGGTACCCGTGGGTTCGGGTTTTGTTGCCATCCCTAATGCCGACTTGCCGAGGATGTTGATGGGATAAGATAGGTGACTAAGGGGTCCTCTTAGTCACTTGCCTAAGTTAATCCTAGCCTTTCAAGTTCATTAAAATTCAATGGCTCTAATTAATTCAATTTAATGAAGGATAGTGTAGTAATTACATGATTCATGATTATTTTATTTTCAGAAATTAATAATTAAAAAATCCAACAGTACCGACCCCGGCGGTCCAGCCCGTCTCCTCGCCGGTCAAAATTTCCCGGCGGCGCATTTATTGGTTCGTCCACTGGCATTTATTTTTTTGGTTCGTCAGAGAGAGGGAGGCGTTCCTACCAGTGCCATTAATTAAATAGACCTTCCCACTTTTTAACCATTAGATTGAAGTGTCCAGATCTAATGGCTAGGAGGGGCTTAGTCAAGTGACTAAGCACCCCCCCTTAGTCACCGGATCCGCACTCGATGTTGATTCTCGCCTTATGAGTTATGGCAAATTATTAAGCTCATGTTATGCAAGAAATTGATTATTGTTGTTGATGGTGACATCTTGATAACAAATAAAAAAATAAATCTTGACTTAAGGTGTAAAATAATTTGGAATGAAGTTGCTTGATTGGCTTATCAATGATAAGGTTAAGTATTTGGTTTTGTTTGTAAAAACGAAATACATTTCACGTGCAATAAGAGCGTATTTGTCTCTTTAATTGATGTTTAAATTCTCGACTTCAATAAATACTAACCAATGAATGTTTGGAATTCGACGATTGAAATATAATAATCTGGTCATGCCAAATTAAAATAGTTCACCTCGATTTTATTTAGTTATTAGGAAATGTTGTCAGGCAATATTTTTGTGATAAAATCATTACAAAACAATAAGTCAACGCCGGCAAATAAGCACAATAGCCTCCTTTGAAAGTCAAGCTATTCAGGTGGGTGCAGAAAAAAACGAAAAATATATTGAGCTGCTAGCTTCTTAAGCTGGGACTATTAGCCTTGTTGATCTTGCTTGCTTCGTTTTTTTTAACAAATGATAGTTTTTCCATGAAAAGAGAGAGATGGAACTTGGAAGGAAATGATAGTTTTTTTAACAAATGATCTGAGCCACTGCCATTATTATAGTCATATAATGGTCCAAACACACAAGTATAATAGAGAGCTGTTGCTTCCGTTTTGGTAGCTTCCCTTCAGAGTGTTAGAGAATGGTATAAGATCCAGCATATTGGGATCAACTGGTTCTTGACATGGTATCAGAGCTTAGAACCGAAAGGTCATGTGTTCGAATCTCTACGATCCTCAATATTAACCGTTGTCTTTCAAGCACATGGTAATATGGTATGGTGGGCCTGTGCAATCTTCAAGCCCGTGGGTTGGCTTTCGTTTGAGGGGGCGTGTTAGAGAATGGTATAAGATCCAGCATAACCTTCTCCCAACAACTCGAGTTATTGGGATCAACTGGTTCATGACAGAGGAACACAACAGTTGAACCGGCAAACATCGAACTTCCCATAACCAATTGGTTGTCGATGCGACAATTATGCTATTAGTGTCACATCGTTATAGTTCGTGGGTTCAATTCCATGATCATAATTCATACATAACTTAGAGAAGCTATGCTAATTATAGGCCCCCTTTCCTTGCCTGTATGAGTGGAAGAGAAGAAAACATGAAGCAATCGGGCAGAAATAAATAATAAGCAAAAGAGGTGCCTTTGGAATGAAGGGTAAGGTGTGATTGCTACTTCTGCTCTGCTCCCACTCCCAATCTTCTAATAAATGGTTTTATTTCCATCATCTATGAAACTGTACCATACCGGCAGTTCAATCACAAAATACAAGTATCGAAGGTTAAAAGGGTAGGCGATATTTAACTATCTAATGGTTGAATTACGATTAAATCACGATTTTATCATAAAATATCATACCGTTTGTTGATGTGACTTGAATCGGACTATCAGCCGCTACGACTGGTAGTCGGGGGTCTCGCTGTTATTTGGGTTCGGGTTCTGGGCCTGGTCTGTAACCGTTTCCTTTGCCAGATTGGACTAGGTTTAGACCCACATGGAGAAGTACTATAAATACTTCTCATACTCCTCTGTAATCTGTAATCTCATCGATATACTAAAACTGACTCTCTCTCGCCCGTGGACTAGCTAACACACATCGTGTTAGTGAACCACGTAAATCGTGTGTCTGTGTTTTTCGATTCTCGCTTTCGTATTCTTGCTTTATCGATTCCGGCGATTTTCCAATTTTTAGCAACGCGTTTATAACACCGTTAACTTTTCCGGTACGATATCTCATACGATTTCATCACCATGCGATGGAAAAAAACCCCTTTTGCCAGTTCTCCAGCTGCTTGCTGCTGCTATATGTTGCTTCTGATTCAGGCAACAAGTGGCGGTGGTGGTGGGAACTTCGCTCTGTTTTACGAGTGAATCGCACGCATGTTACTGGGCCATGTTCCTCCCAAGAAAGGCGGGGCCAATTATCCATTCATTTTCCTTTTAGCTTCAATTTCTATCTCATGAGATAAAATTGCATCATTGAAAACTCAGGGTTCCATGGCTATTATTGGATTCGTCACTCAAATTTATGTTTTGTATACTAATTACTTGCTTGTGAAATTGCTCCCGTTAGACGTTAGTTTACTTCTACGGCTATACTTCTCCTCATACTTGATCGATGGATACTAAATGGGTTACCCATTGTTTGAGCACATGCGGAATCCGGTAGTTGCAATTAGTAAAATCGATACAAATTTGAGAAGCAAATAGTGTGACAATTATGATAGATTTAATTTCGTACTCACTACGAACTAAGTTAATCCAATGGTTCTTTTTAATTCAAGAAATAACTCATCATGCTTGACATAGTGATAATAATTCTCAAATTTTTGTAGAAAAAAAAAAGAGAGAGAGTTGGAAAAGTGATCAAACTCATCAATATAAAAATCGAATCAGACTTATCAGCTTCTCCTTGTCTCAAGTAGCAAATTTATTCTCCGGGTTAGGACTAGTCATACAAATTAACAACCTAGTACTCACCTCATCAATGCGGTGTATCAACTCTCCCGGTTGCATATAAAGAACCGAGTAAAACAATTTAACATGATAGTGATGCAAGCTCCATTAATATTAGAAGGTTGGATAATGAGAATTTGGATAACAATTGCTAAGATAGATTATAATTTTAATGAACTTAAATTTTTTATACTAAGGCACAAATTCAATTTGTATTTCGAAACATCAATATTTAGAATATAATAGAAAAACTTATTCATTCTACCTAATTTAACATAGACCCATATCCTCTCATCCATGCATCAAAATTTAAGTTTTTGTAGTATTGTTAGCATAGTTTATTTAATTCAAAATTGCATTTATATTTTATGTTCTGAATATAACAATAAATTATTTTATAGGGTAATGTATAATATTTTCTCTAATAATTACAATATTACGGGGTTCAATTACAAAGAGTCAAAGAATACAACACCCCCACCCCAAACTCAAACTACTTTTAGAGGATAATAATTAGGGCTAATACCACTGGGAAACTCGAACTATTAACTTTGTGTCATTTGTGTCCTAAAGTATTCGATATGACATTTGTGTCCTAAACTATTTTTCCGTTAGAGTTGACTAGCGTTGACCGTTAGTTTTTAACAGAAAGTCTAGTCAGCGCTTATGTGGCATCTGACATGGAATTTTAATATTAATTTTTATTTATTTTTCCATCAAATAAAAAAATTATATTATAAATTAAAAAAAAAATAAATCACACCTCTCACGGCCCCCTTCTCCGCCTCCAACCTCTCCCCTTTCTCCTTCCTCTGCAATTTTCCTCCAGGACTCACAAGCTTTCACTAACATAGATCACATACAGCAACCAAAAACAAGAAAAACAGACATCACCCAGTTCTACAAACGAGCCCCAAAAACTGCTAACCATCTGGCAATCCAGAAACCCTCTGAAACACCAATTCGACTCCCCAGAAGCACCCAGCTCCGAATTGGGCGAACTGCTGGCCGGGGGCAGGGGATTCGTCGTCGGGGCTCTGGGGAATCGTCGAGTCCATGGCGGACGGGTCGGGGGACCGAACGCCGAACCCGACCATCGCTGTCGATTTCGTCTTCAACCACTTCAACTCCATCACCTCCTCCTCCAGCCTCTTGCTACAGATCTGGCGCCGTCAAATTTCGAGTCCCCACACACACTCACCAAATCCACCACCTTCACCATCTGTCGAGCTATACCTACAGAGAATCCACACCAGAACATGGGTTCCTAAATCACACCAACAGAGGCGAGATGAAGTGAAGGGGCGACAGCGATTCCAAGCTGAAAATGCCCACAGGTCGTCGCGAAATCGATCTAGGAGACGACGAAGGTCCTCTATCTCCCCTTTCGTTTCCCCATCTCGGCGAGGATCCCCGACTGCCTTCATCGTCGGCGTAGCCCAACATCTGAAAAGAAAGATAAACTTTGATTAGCTAGCTGCTTTAATCATTGAGATCGAGATCAGGGGAGGGAGCAGATAAATGAGAGGTGGAACTCACTCTGTCACTCCGATCGAGCATTTTAAGGCGGATGTACACGAGATCTACAGGAACCCAGATCGGGAATGGTTACGAGCTGAAGTGGGCAGCTGTCAAGTTCCCCGACCATGGTGGTGGGCTGGGAACGGGAGATGGGTCTGGAAGAGAGAGGCTTTGAGGTGGGAAGAGAAATACCTCAAAACCTAATTTCAGATCCATTCATTTCTGGAGATGCGAATTTTGGGCAAACGATCAAAGTGGTTCCTCCGATTGAGCTCAAAGTCACAGGGGATTCCTTCAGCGCCGACGTCCAGATTCAACGTCGGGATTTGAAGGGTCGGATTCGGCGGAGGATGGTGGAAGTGCTGGGGAAGAAGATTTTTGTTAAGAATTTTTTTTTTACTTTTTTTTAATTTTTTTCATAAATAATATGATGTGTCAGCTGACGTGGCCGCCACATATGTGCCACGTAACCAACGGTCAACATTTTACTGATGACCGTTAGGTCAACCGTTATCTTTAACGGTCAACAAAATTGGTAGGACATAAATGACACACAACAACCATACATCATGATACAAATGTCATATCGAATACTTTAGGACACAAATGACACAAAGTTAATAGTTCGGGTTTCCTAGTGGTATTAGCCCTAATAATTACCCCTCCCCAAATTTAGGAGTGTCCCGAGCAATTCTTAAGAATCGTGAATTTACCTGTATCCCAAATTCAAACTACTAACAAGGAGTCAATCATTTCTCCCAAATTTAAGCTCTCACTACAGCTACTTAACATGATTTTGTTACAAGTTACAACCCATCACTCGTTTGACTAACTTATAATAACTCTATAATACTTTGATGATCAACTTGTCTTCTTTGATTAAGGTCATTTATAATGTACCTCAAACGTTCTAGTAGTGAGTAAAGCATCCTTAATTTTAAGCGTAAAGTTTGATTTGTTTGTTAGAGGGATAGCTCAAGTAAGATGAAAAACTCATTGATCTTTTAGGTCGATTCCTAAATAAACAATAAAAAGCGTTAGTCAACACCGATCTACGCCACGCCACTAATCTCAAAGTGCATGTTGTACCTCAATAGTCAAATGTGTTCACAACTGCAAAATTAGCGAGGAGTATTAAGACGAGAACAAACTTCAGTCATGAGTTCACAAAATGACTAAAGTTCAGGTACCAATAAGTTATTTGCTTCATTGATTATCAAATGGGCCGGGCCGTTAGTCACAGTGAGGAAAAAAAAATTGCTCTCACCCTCACTGACTCGGAAATTTTGGAAAAGCTGCTTCTGTTTCTGCCACTCACGTGCCCCGGTCGTAGGATCACGTGATCCCAGCTTCCACTTTCATGTGGTTGCACTAAGTCGATATCTCTCTCGTATGAATGGCAATGGGGCAGGTCCGGGGCGGGTTTCTTGGTACCCAGACCCGCCCCGTGGCAGGTCGGGTCCAGGTCGGGTAATTGATCACGGGTCGCAGGTCGGGGCAGGTCGACCCAATGGGTATGCAATTTATATGAAAAACATTAGAAATATTCGTTATTTTTATTATAAGACTAAGAAAACAAACAATATTATGACAATTATAGTTAAATTATTGGAGAAATTGAAGTTTTTACTAATTTATAACTTTATTATAGCTAAAATATGATGCAATAAAAGGAAAATTCTAAGTAATTTGACTAAAATTACATGTAATTTAGACAAGAACGGGTCGAGAATGGGGCGGGTCAGGGCAGGTCGGGTCGATGAGACTACCCATGCCCGCCCCGCCCCGCCTACGGGGCAGGTCGGACCCGCCCCAAAACAGGTCAAACAGATCGGGTAAAACGGGTCAGGTCGAAATTGCCATCCCTACTCTCTCGTCTCCCTGACGACTCCGCCGGCCAAACTTTTCCACCTGAATCCAGATGCTCACGGCGCGTCCCTAACACTCTCCTCCTCCTCGCGAGTGAGCTTCCCAATTGACAACTATCCCTTTCTCCCGTAACCGGATCACAGCCAGTAGCCAGTCACACAAGGGGGAAAAAGGCGGATAAATAATTTTCGAAAAAGAATTCAAAATTCAAATTCCCCCGAAAAATAACCAAACGTCCGTCACGGCGTCATATCCTGGCCCCACTAAACCCCTTCTCCGTCTCCCTGACTATATAGCTCATTCATCTGCCGCTCCGCTATTTTCCACTCACAGAGCTCTCTCTCACAGAACAAGCAAAAAGACACACACACTCTCTCTCTCTTTCTGCTTTTCTGTGAGATCTCTGTGTTCACCGGCGAAGATGCGTGAAATCCTCCACATCCAGGGCGGCCAGTGCGGCAACCAGATCGGAGCTAAGTTCTGGGAGGTCGTCTGCGCCGAGCATGGCATCGACAGCACCGGAAGGTACCAGGGGAACACCGATATGCAGCTGGAGCGGGTGAACGTCTACTACAACGAGGCGAGTTGCGGGAGGTTCGTGCCCCGGGCGGTGCTCATGGATCTGGAGCCTGGCACCATGGACAGCGTCAGATCTGGTCCCTACGGCCAGATTTTCCGTCCTGACAACTTCGTCTTCGGCCAGTCCGGCGCCGGAAACAACTGGGCCAAGGGACACTACACTGAAGGCGCTGAGCTCATCGACTCGGTGCTCGATGTTGTGAGGAAGGAAGCAGAGAATTGTGACTGCTTGCAAGGTAACTTCCTCTCTTTCTGCGGGGAATTCCTCTTGACTTATTGTCTTCTTGCTTGAATTAGGGTTTACGCTTCTGTTTAGCTCCATTTCCTGCTCGCTTCCACCTTCTTTTAGAGAATTCTGCTCGTTTACGCTTCACTCAGTTTGAAATCGTGGTCAATTAGGGTTTACACTTGATTGTCGAAACGAGTCTGACGTTTAATTTGTCTAAATCGTGCGTAGAAGAATTTCTAGATCTAGAGCTGATCCTGATCGTACTATTGTCGAAATCTGTGGTCCTATTTTGATTCCCATGCTTGCTCAATTTCTCAAGGTTTTGTACCAGAGATCGACTGTGGTCAAGTCTCGTGATGTACTTGTCTTTCCAATTCTTGACTATGAGTGAATTCTGTAGTTCTTCGGTTATTTTACCCGGTCATCCCTCATTTCTGATAGCAGTGCTTCGATAGCTTTCTTTTTTCCCGCTAGACCTGTAAACTGAATAGTGGTCACTGATATTGCTGGTGGTTTAAATTTCAATGCAGGTTTCCAGGTTTGCCACTCTTTGGGTGGTGGTACTGGTTCTGGTATGGGGACTCTCTTGATCTCCAAGATCAGGGAGGAGTATCCTGATCGTATGATGCTCACATTCTCCGTCTTCCCCTCGCCTAAGGTGTCGGACACTGTTGTTGAGCCCTACAATGCAACTCTATCAGTTCACCAGCTTGTTGAGAATGCAGATGAGTGCATGGTCCTGGATAATGAAGCTCTATATGACATCTGCTTCCGTACTCTTAAACTCACCACTCCCAGCTGTAAGCCTCACGATCTGACTCTGAATTGTGCTTTATTTGTTGATTCATTTGCTGAATATGGACTAATTAACTTGGATTTTCATCTGTTGTTTTGATTCAGTTGGAGATCTGAATCACTTGATCTCGGCCACCATGAGTGGAGTCACCTGCTGCCTTCGTTTCCCGGGTCAGCTCAACTCTGACCTCCGCAAGCTTGCAGTCAACCTCATCCCGTTCCCTCGCCTCCACTTCTTCATGGTTGGGTTCGCTCCCCTCACCTCACGTGGCTCGCAGCAGTACCGTGCCCTGACAGTCCCCGAGCTGACTCAGCAGATGTGGGATGCCAAGAACATGATGTGTGCTGCTGATCCACGCCATGGGAGGTACCTCACTGCCTCTGCCATGTTCCGTGGCAAGATGAGCACCAAGGAAGTAGACGAGCAGATGATCAACGTCCAGAACAAGAACTCATCATACTTCGTCGAGTGGATCCCCAACAACGTGAAGTCCACCGTCTGTGACATCCCTCCCACGGGTTTGAAGATGGCTTCGACTTTCATCGGCAACTCGACATCGATCCAGGAGATGTTCCGCAGGGTGAGCGAGCAGTTCACTGCCATGTTCAGGAGGAAGGCTTTCTTGCATTGGTACACCGGGGAAGGCATGGACGAGATGGAGTTCACCGAGGCCGAGAGCAACATGAATGATTTGGTGTCTGAGTATCAGCAGTACCAGGATGCAACGGCTGATGAAGAAGGGTATGAGGATTACGAGGAAGACGAGGAAGCTTTAGGCGACGCTTGATAAAGATCCAAGAAAGGATGGTAGAGTAATAGCTTGAGGGTGCAGGGTCAAGTGTTTTTTGCTGTTTGCTACAATCTATGTTGTGGTTGTTTTTTTTTTTTTTTTGTCGCTTGTGTTTTTGACTGTTCTGAGTTCCTGAATGCCTTGTTTGGGTGGAGTTCCTTATCTCTCTCCTGCTTATAGTGCGAGTTTGTGTGTTTATGGGACGGTAGGGTTTTAGTGTTTTTTCATGGCGGGTTAACTGCACAATATATCATGCTTGGTCTAGTAGCTTTACAGAAAAATGAAACCTGTTATCAACTAATTCGGTTGACCTTTGTGTGTGGTTTTTTGCTAGGACTTGATAACGCTTTTAATTGTGGTTTAACTATGGTTCATTGTAGACAACGAGGCGAGCCGATTGCTACATTCTATCCCAATTTTACTCCGAATCATTCCAGAATTTTGCCGTTAACCTCAATGGTTTAGTTTTACAGTGTGATCTGCATTTCGCGACTGAGTAGAGGATCATCACTGTGATTTCAGACAGTACACAAACATTTTCTTTTGTTCTTCTGGCTCTTTTTTGACGATTCGAGAGTTTGCGACTGCAGTGGACAGTGGTCATGTGCTATGTTATATTCTATCACACTAGCCACTAGCTGTAGTTCACGTGGTCCGGCGGCACCTTCTAAAGCAGTGGACCAGCTTGGGTTAGTTAGTGTACGTCTGAAGAAAGGGAATATTCACCTGCACGTAGAGGTGGCAATTGGATCGGATTCGTGGATTGGATTCGTGGCTCTATGGATCAAATGGATTGGATCCAATGGATTGGTGGATTCATGTATTGGATTCAATGGATTGGTGGATTGATCCATGAATCCAAATAACATCCAAGGCTTGGACCAAAATGTAAATTTTGAAAAGTTTAGGTACTAAAATGTCATAATGAAAAATTTTAGATACCAAAACGTAATTTACCAATGATATTTTTTGTATAAAAATATAAATTTTAGGTACCAAAATGTAAAATATAAAAAATATAGGTACCAAATCGTAATTTGCCATTTGGATCCATGGATTGATCCATGAATCCACCAATCCAATTGGATTTGGATCAAATGGATTGAATTTAAATGGATTGAATTAGGTGGATAATTTGGTGGATGGATTGAATTGGATTCATGGATTTGGATTTTGGATCCTAATTGCCACCTCTACCTGCACGGGATAAGACACAGTTCCAAAGGCATCGGAAAGAGACGTTCATCGGATAGATCAAGAATCCAAGATCTAAGCCCACATAAATGGATAGAGTCGGCCCATTACACCACTTACAGAAAAGCCCAGAGACAACTTAACTCTCAAGTCTCACCTGCCTTCCCTTCGCGAGTGAGCTAGCCACTAGAAAAATTAACAGGCGTCAAGTAACAACTAAAACAACCCTTCGCGCCTCTCGCGTTAAACCGAGAAAAGCGGAAAAGGCGCGATAAACAATTCCCCAAATGGAATTCAAAATTCAAATTCCCTCTGAACGAAGCAAACGTCCGTTACGGCTGTCACCGTTTAACGCCCCACTTAACGGCTACAAACCCCTTCTCCGTCCTCTTACTATATAAATATCTTTATCCGCCGCTCCGCCATCTCCCGTTTTCCATTCGCAGAGCAGAGCTTTCTCACAGAACAAAGCAAACGCTCTTTTCTCTGCTAAGCTCACTTCTCTTACTCTGCACTACCAGATATCCATTTCCACCGGCGAAGATGCGTGAGATCCTCCACATCCAGGGCGGCCAGTGCGGCAACCAGATCGGAGCCAAGTTCTGGGAGGTCGTCTGCGCCGAGCACGAGATCGACAGCACCGGGAGGTACCAGGGGAGCACCGATATCCAGCTCGAGCGGGTGAATGTTTACTACAACGAGGCAAGCTGCGGGAGGTTCGTCCCTCGTGCGGTGCTCATGGATCTGGAGCCTGGCACCATGGACAGCGTCAGATCTGGTCCCTACGGACAGATTTTCCGCCCTGACAACTTCGTCTTCGGCCAGTCCGGCGCCGGCAACAACTGGGCCAAGGGACACTACACCGAAGGCGCCGAGCTCATCGACTCGGTCCTCGACGTCGTGAGGAAGGAGGCCGAGAACTGTGACTGCTTGCAAGGTAACTTCCCCCCTTTTCCTGCGAACATCTCTGCTTTGTTAGCTAGGTTTCACTTGAATTAGGGTTAGCTCTTTACTTACGGATTTGATTGATGAATCGGGCTTTCTGTTATCCTTCCATACTATATCCATAGCTGTAACCGATATTACAGCAGATTGATTATGATTTGATGATAAATTTATATGGAATCGTGTTTTAGATTGACTAGGGTTTGGTCTCTGAATGTCAACAGTAGCTGCTCTACTGTACTTGTGCAATTAGCTTGCCTAGCTACCTATAACTTGCTTCGCGATGGCTGATTGTTGCTATTGGATTCAATTCCGTCGCAGGTTTCCAGGTGTGCCACTCTTTGGGAGGTGGTACTGGTTCAGGAATGGGAACTCTCTTGATCTCTAAGATCAGGGAGGAGTACCCTGATCGGATGATGCTCACTTTCTCCGTCTTCCCATCTCCTAAGGTGTCTGATACTGTTGTTGAGCCCTACAACGCGACCCTCTCGGTTCATCAGCTCGTTGAGAACGCAGATGAGTGCATGGTTCTCGACAACGAGGCTCTGTACGACATCTGCTTCCGCACGCTCAAGCTCACCACTCCTAGCTGTAAGCCTGTTGATTCCATCTCTTGAATTTGGTATGCTTCGTTTGTAGGAGCTCGTTTATTGACTTGGGTTCTTGTGTTGTTGTCATGATTCAGTTGGAGACCTGAACCACTTGATCTCAGCAACCATGAGTGGAGTCACCTGCTGTCTCCGTTTCCCCGGCCAGCTCAACTCCGACCTCCGGAAGCTCGCAGTCAACCTGATCCCATTCCCGCGGCTGCACTTCTTCATGGTCGGGTTCGCTCCGCTCACATCTCGTGGGTCGCAGCAGTACCGCGCATTGACGGTCCCCGAGCTTGCCCAGCAGATGTGGGACGCTAAGAACATGATGTGCGCCGCAGATCCGCGCCACGGCAGGTACCTCACCGCCTCCGCCATATTCCGCGGCAAGATGAGCACCAAGGAAGTCGACGAGCAGATGATCAACGTCCAGAACAAGAACTCGTCCTACTTCGTGGAGTGGATCCCCAACAACGTGAAGTCCACCGTCTGTGACATCCCTCCCACGGGTTTGCAGATGGCTTCGACTTTCATCGGCAACTCGACATCGATCCAGGAGATGTTCCGCAGGGTGAGTGAGCAGTTCACTGCTATGTTCAGGAGGAAGGCTTTCTTGCATTGGTACACTGGTGAGGGTATGGACGAGATGGAGTTCACTGAAGCCGAGAGCAACATGAATGATTTGGTTTCGGAGTATCAGCAGTATCAGGATGCTACGGCTGAGGAGGAAGGGTATGAGGATTATGAAGAGGAGGAGGAAGGTGTAGGGGAAGAGTACTAGTCCTGGTTTGATGTTATTCGTAGCTGTATTTTCCTTTTTCCCTTTGTTTTGCTACAATATCCTGTCGCGCTTCTGTCCGTTGCTCTGATTTTGATGCTTTCATTTCCTAAGAATTCCTAGCTTGGGGATTTATCTCTTCTGTAGAATCAATGCTCTTCATGCTTTGTGGTTAACCGATTATGAAACTCTAGCGGCAAGACTTTCTGTACGTTACTAAAGTAAGCGTTTCTTTTGATCTCTGTTGGCTAAAGTAGTTAGCAAAATGGCTTCCGATTTCCAGAGAACGAAGCGCAATCTCCCAACAAACCATTACAAATTACACCTACAAATTTGGATTGTTCCCCCGTTGCCAAGGTGGTGCCAATGACCATGGTGTTAATCGTCAAATGCGAATAACGTTCTCAAGTCCAAGATGCAGCATTGATCAGTTCCCGTCTCGTTACATAGCTGGTACAACAGCACCATACTTTGGGGGGGTCTGATTTTAAGAGGAGAGGAAATGCTCGGCGACGATTCTCCGTTGGATCTTGCCGCTGGCGGTCTTGGGGACGTCGTTGGTGATGAACACCTTCTTGGGGACCTTGAAAGCAGCCAGGTTCTTCTTGCAGAAGCTCTGCACTTCTGCCTCGTCGATCTTCGACCCTTCTCTTGGGATGATTGCACAGTTGATCTGTTGGTTGCCAAGAAACCAATATTAGCTCCAAGTAAGAGAGAGTGTACTTACTAGGATATTCGCAACCAATTGCGAAAGGTGGGAGGGGTTTGCAAAGGTGATTGTTTTACCTCTTCCCCATACTTTTCATCAGGGACGGCGAAACAGACAGCTTGAGCAATGTCTGGATGAGATAGAAGAACCGAGTCCACTTCGATCGGCGATATCTTCTCCCCTGTGAATCACAGCAGTATATGATGGTTTAGTCAGTACTGCAGAGATGCCGAATCGGTTCTCTAGAGACAATGCAGTGGAAACAATGCAGTGGAAGTAGAAAGTTAACTCCTGTCATTCATGGGAGCTTAGTTTCGTCGGATAACAAAAGAAAGCATCAGTACAAGCATGCCAAGATTCCTCAGACAAGCCATCCAGCCTTTAACCAAGCCAGTTTGGCCAAATTTTGCTGGATAAAGCAACTTGTATATGGGGCCAAAAAACCTTTCTTTGTCAGCATCAACTAGAAGACGAAGAAGCACGATGGTGGTAAATTCCACTTTCCTGTGAAGCATTCGTTTTTGGTGTACTAGACTATGAATCAACCAACCACCTCTTTATACTAGGAATGACATTTAGAGCAGATGTGAAAAGTAAGTAATTGATCAAAAAGGGAATGGAAGTTACCTCCACGGTTGACAAGCTCCTTAATCCTCCCCACAAGATGCAAATACCCATCTGAATCGAAGTATCCAAGATCTCCAGTGTGGAACCACCCGAACAGAAACCCGCTCTTGTTAGCCTCAGGATTGTTCTTGTACCCCTTGGTCACATTAGGACCCCTGATACAGACCTCGCCATTCGAATTAGGACCTTGAATTTCACCATCTTCACTCAGGATCGCCATCTCCTGTCCCACCGGCTTCCCAACTGATCCGGGCTTGTGCGGACCATCTTCCGGCAAAGGGTTTGACGACATCAAATGTGTTGCCTCAGTCATTGCATACGCCTCGAGAACAGGCGCCCCAAACGCCTCCTCGAGCCGAGCCAAGATCGATGGGGCGAGGGAGGCGCTACAGCTTCGAATGAACCGAAGCTTGGGGTAAACTGGTTTTGGGGTACTACTATGGCGGTCGAGTATGATCTGGTGGATAGTGGGAACTGCGGTGTACCAAGTGGCATTGTACTTGACCATGTCTTGCCAGAATGTCGAAGCCGAGAATCTACCGGCGGCTGGAAGAGTGACTGCAGCTCCGGCTGCTAACGAACTCAGTAGCCCAGCCAACAAGCCGTGGACGTGGAACAAGGGCAGGACAATCACCGTCGAGTCGGATTCTGTGAGCTTGTAGACCGATTTGATGTTCTGCACGGAAGAGGCTAAATTGAGCTGAGTCAATGGCACGCCCTTGGGCCGGCTGGTGGTTCCGGAGGTGTGAAGGAAGAGCGCCCCGTCGGCGGGCTCGTTCACTGGCAGCTGGTCCAGCGAGTTGGCTCCTGACTCGGATGGAGGAGGAAGAGAGAGCGCGAGCTCGGAGTCTTTCACGGAGAGTGCGGCGGTGGAGTGGCGGATTTGGAGCTTCGAAGCGGCGGATTCCGCCGCCGCGTTTCCGTCGCGAGAAGTGAGCAATAGCTTCGATTCCGAGTCCGACAGGTAGAACTCGAATTCCTCCGCCGTGTAGGCGGCGTTGAGCGGCGCCGCTGTTGCTCTGGCTCGAATCACGGCCAGAAACATCACAACGAACTGCAATCGTATCACAGAACACACACAATGAAAACCTAAGAGACGAAGCAACCAATTTTTCTCGCTGATTTCTCGGCAACCAAACAGATTAATTCAAACTCCCCAACTTCCTATCCGCAATTGCAAAGCAAACGGAGCAGAGGCGGAAACAAGAACAACAAGTACTTACCTCGACGGTGTTGGGGAAAGTGAGCGCGACCACGTCGCCGGGCTTGACGCCGGCGGAGGCGAGGCGAGAGGCGGCGCGTTCCACGAGTTCATCGAGGCGAGCGTGGGTGAGATCGAGTTTGCCGGAAACGGAGAGGGCGCGGCGGTCGGGGAACTCGTGGGCGACGCGCTTCAGCAGTCCGGTGAGTGTTTGAGTTTGAGTCGCCATTTTTGTGGAGGTAAGCGATGAAGCGAACGAATTGGCTATCGGAAATTTGGTCTTGCTCTTACGGGCAAAATTGAAATGGAGGATTGGTCATTGGGAAACTCAAATTTGGTTTTTATTTATGACTTGTCAAGAAGATTTTGGACGGTGTCTGGTGGAAATGTGGAATGCTGATCGGTCTGCCACGCGGCAGTCTGTCATGCCTCGTGGTCTCTAATGGCTGCTGAGAGCCTGAGACTAAAAGAGGTTTATGGAACACAGTCGTTTTGTTAATCGTGATCTTAGGTCCTAATAACAATCAGCTCGGATCTTTGGATATGTGCCCTTTCAGATTCCAGAAGGCCAAATTTTTTTGCTGATAAATGATAATTGCCTCTGTGGATGCATAAGCATAACTCATAACTGTATGCAAAATTACATGCGTATCCTCCATTCATTAATTAATCTGGAAGTGATTGAGGTAATCACCTAAAATTCGTTACCAGTCAGTAATTGAACATGGGATTCATAGTACTCATGTCCGAAGCAGTTTTTGAGACATTTTTGTTTGATTTAATTGCAGTGTATACTGTATACATGCGAATCATAAGTAGGGATGGCAATCAAACCCATGGCCGCGGGTACCCGACCGCCCCCGACCCAGTCAACGCGGGGATATGGGGCGGGTATGGGTAAAACCCGCAAAAAGTTTGATGGGTATGGGGCGAGTATGGTTTTAGCCTCCCCGCCCCATACTCATACCCATACCCACCCCACCAAGAGGATTTCTACACATATAAAAAAATATGTGGATCAAATTGTAATCTATCAATAAAGATGAGGATAACTCGAGAAATCAAATAGTAGAAATGCAATTGAGTGACCACCCTATTCAAAACATAATTCATTTCCCTCAATTCTCTTCACTCTTTCACTTTCACCCTTGTCAATCAGATTATGTTAGTTAATTATTACTTAGTAGATGTATCAAAATTAGAGCATAATAATTGTACTCTATATTATGTATTAATGGATGTTTTAGGATCATATTCTTTGAATCGTATTAAGAAAATGACCGTGTTTTGTTGACTTCGTGATATAATAGGTTTGTTTAGAGTTATAATTAAACATTTTCTTGTAAGTTTTAGGTATAATAATATTGGATGTACGGGGACGGGTATTACCCATGGGCACCCGAAACCCACGAGTATGGGGATGGGTTTGCAAAATGTTCCCGCATGTGTATGAGGCGGGTATGGGTTTGGGTATTCGAAGATGGAGATGGGGATGGTTTAGACAAACCCACCCCAAACCCGCCCCATTGCCATCCCTAATCATAATTACATATTGTCTTTTTAGTACACTATCAAATTCATTTTTATAAACCCCCCAACAAAAGCTTGTTTGTTTTGTTGTCCAATTTACAAAGAATCCAATATCCAGGCATTATTCCAAGCTACAGCTCGTCATGGTCCATGCATATTAGAAGTATTAGCACATGCTGTCCTCTTGCTAATAAAATAATCAGCCTAACAAAATTGATTGATGTCGATTATCTCAATATATACTATGAATTAGTAACTCAAAGTAGCAGTCATCAGCAACATGTTATGTTTTTGTTCTACATGCCAATCAGATGATCAATTTTAATTTATTGGTAAAACAAAATTTATTACAAACTTATCCAATGGAATTGACACTAATACTATGTACCATATAAAATTAAAATCTTTATTAATGACATGAAATTCGAAACACTACAAAGTATGGTTTTTAAAGCGTAAATAGAAATAATCAGAACCAAAGCAGGCCGGCCCTAACAGATTGGATCCTCAGCGCAGCTTCTTTTATATTCTATCCATCGTTCACTCATACTCAAAATCAAACATCTTAATTATTATATATTAATTAGATAATTAGTCTCTCCCACTCGTGAATCTCATATCGTCCATCTTAATTACCTTCGTCGCTTCAACTAATCAATCTGTGACATAGGCTCCGGAGCAAAACTGGCCGGCTCCGGCGACATCGGTAGTGGCTGATCTGGCACCGGCGCCGTCGCTGGTGCGACCATGTAGCTCACCCCCTGAATTGGCCCCGGCGCAATTAGCACGCCGCCTGAGCTCTTAATAATATCGGCCGTCAATTCCCTCCGCCCTGGACCGTTTTGGGCCGCGCACAGCTTCGGTAGAAAAACCCCTGCGACAATGGTCAAAAGAAAATTAGGCCCACATACAATAAGCCCCATCAACAGATCCTAGTAGCCGGCCCATCGGCCCATAACCGACACATCTATTTGTAGTCACCTTCGCCGGCGGCGAGGTTGAAGTAGAGGTCGACGATGTTGGGGCAGGCATCGTAGCACTGAGCAGAGCAGAGGTGGCGCGTGAATCCGGGCTCGAGGAGGGTATCCGACGAGATCCCGAGAGCTTTCCTCTCCAATCCGCAGGCCTTGATACACTCATCGGTCTCCACCCAGTTCTTCAGCTTGTCGGCCTCGATCTCCGACGTCCGGCAGCTGTACTCTTCTTGTCCTCCCCTCTTCACGCGCTTCTCCAGCACGCACCGCTTTCCCGTTGATGATACCGCGTAGGCGCACGCGCCTTGCTCCAGTTTCTCGCATGTTATAGTTGTTTCTTCCCCTGCAACGGTGAAGAACCGGTTATTCCGGAGAAATTAGATATGAAAATCATATGCTGTGTCGTTGGAATTCAAATAGAAGACCTTTCATTCATAGAAGACTTTTCTATGATGTTAAGAACCAATTATCCCACTAATTTGAATCATTGGAAGATATTCAATTATGGATCGTAAATTACGTAGTAAGAGCAGGATGCAAACCCCCTATCGACAAGTAAGACAACATTAAAGTTTGAGAATCCTTAAAACACATGCAAACTTCTCTCAGATAAGGGTAAAACATTAAGGGAGTGAGTGTAATTGATTGTTTATTTACCGTGAGTTGGGTGGAGGCAGGTGAGAGCCAGAGCAAGAAACAGAGTTGCTAGGACTTGGAAGCGCAATCCTGAAGCCATAAGGACTAGGGAGAGAGAGCTTAAAAGTATTGGTTTTGATGGGAAGAATTTTGGTAGTGGAGAGCTAGGAAGGTTTGGGGGGTTGGCAATTTATAATAAGCATCGAGTGGAAAATGGCGGGCAAGGGGCAAAGACTAACGTGGTTTGTATTGTTCAGAAGTCAAGTGGGGAGTCTTTTTAATTTGGTTCTTCCATATTTTCACCTTATTTTCCCCTCTTGGTTTGTGGATGTATGCAATGCATGAAAGTTTCCATGGAATGTGATGTTTGACCATGTTTTGTGGATGCAATTTTTGTAAGATGTAATGCTACAAAAAATGAAATGTAGAGAGGTACAATGATAAAAGGAGAATTATGAAAACTAAACAAGAGAATATTAGATTTCATGACATGGTATATGAACTCAATTTTTTTTTTTAATGATGGAATTGGATGATACAATTCGGCTTTAATTTTCTCAAAATGAAGTAATTGGATCAATTAGCCTCATTTGGCAACACAGAATAGGAAGGCAGGAATTGAGCCGAGACAATTTGAATTGCTTCCTCATCAGAAGTGAATTACGAGTCGGACCAATTTGCGAATCGAGCGAGCTCCCCTGCATCAATTTTAATCGAAAGCAAAAGAGGCAAACGTTATGAATGATGCGTCAATTGTGAGAAAAGGTAATTTTGAAACAATTGTGTCGAATTGCATCATTTATTAAATCCATATTCCAAAAGACCCCGTACCCACGCTCATTCCACTTAATCTAAACTAACAGACAATGAAGTTCTCATTTTTTCTAAAATGTTATTGTCATGACCAACTGTTAAGAAACAACAACACACGTCTTCAAATGTTTGAGAAACAACAAAAAAAAAACAACAACCAAATTATCAGTATCAATATGTCTCTATAATGGTTAGCTTACCCAAAGATCAAGTTCAATTTGATTGGCGAAAGTCTGGCCGCTATTAGTGGCCGGCCGATGAGTGCAGCAACCCTAAAATTTCCTTTGCATGCACATGGTTAATGAATGATCAAGCTGGAGAAAGCAGAGTGCCCATCATGAAGTTGAAACAGAACTAGAAGACGGACCCGGCCGTGATGACTGCAGAGTGCTGCCATTTCTTTTTTCTTTCTTTCCGCGTCCTTCACGGCAATGAGAAATGAGTACAAAAGAGGTTAGGCATGGACTTTGACATGGCTCCCGTAGTCTTGGGGGGAAAGGAGGGTTAATTGATGGCTTATTGCTAATTGATTAGTCCGCCATGGACTTTGACATTCTCGATCTGTTCGTTTGCTTAATGAGTCATGACGTAAATCACGGTCTTATTGTTAGTTGATTAGTCCACCATTGTTTCCAAAGAGAAAATTCAACTAAACTAACGGTAATATAGGGTTGTGCATTTGGGTGGTTTAACTCACAAATCCACCCAAATTCACCTGCAATCGATCCACCCATTATTATGTAGGCGGTTTCTATGGGTGGGTGTGGGTTGTAAAATAGATAACACACATCCCTAAATTCTATTAACCATGGAATATAATGCATAACCAAACTGTCCAAACTAATACAACAATCAAATTAACCAAACTAACGTTTAATCGATTTGGTTTATTGGTTAACCAGATTAACCAATATAACATCACATCATTTAGTGAGAAAAATCTCCGGTTAGTGCAACAATTCATAATTTATATAATGAATAAAACATAACAATCAACACATAATTTTAGTTAACTCTTAACGTATATACATGTAACTAATACAATTATCTTACTATCAATAGAAGTATTCACGTAACAAAAATATATTTCAATGATATGGGGTTAATGAATTGTTGTGTAATGTAAATTGACTTAGTATCTTAGCAATTATCCTAGGCTAAAAAAGACCTTCCTCGCAAGTTTGCTTCCAACATAACATATTAGTTTTTATCTAAATTAGACGTCCATAATGTTGTGATTCACACTCTACATATACAAATATATAATATAGAAACAATATCGAGCTTTATTTTTAGTGAGCCTAAGAGGGAGGAACGTTTGACTCTTGAGTAGTTATGCAAAGTATTAAGTATGTGTATATAATATTTATTATTAGATATATGGCTAATTAGTTAACTGGTTAGATTGGTTTGATTGGTTAGGAGTCTTTGAAACCAAACCACCACAACCAAACAAGCTAAAAAATTTAACCAAACCAATCCATCATCCAAATTAACCAAATACTACGTGTTAAAATGGTTATCACGGTAACCACACCGTTTGAACACACCTATGTTTATCCGTTGAATATTTTGTAATTTATGGACAATTACCAGTACCAATATTGTAAAATAAATTATTCACTTGATTTATGGATTAAGCGTTTGAAAATTTCTTTCATTTTAAGTTTAAAACTATTGAAATTATGTGATCATATGAAATATATGTTGCAAATCCACCCAACCACCCATCACCCGCAAACACTCAACCCAACCACATGTAATATTTGGGTGGGGGTATGAGTCATTTTCTCCTTCACCCACCACAAGGTGATTTCAAACTCACTCAAACCCGCATAAAACCACCCACCACTCACCCCCTACGATAATCAAACGAGCTATTTGGTGGATAGGTGCTATATACTCCAACTAAATCATAATTTTGTTTCACGAATTTGTCATCTAATTTTTATAATTGTATTAGTAGTTACTCCAACTAAATCATCATTTTAATTTTAATCACGAACGTTAACTTCCGTCAGGCTCCATTAATATTATCTACTTTTTTTTATGACTTGACTATAAAAATGCTAACTCATCCAAATTTAACTTAAAAAAATGAAAACTAGACTCATACCGTTATAACCCGCCACATGTTCAATTAAAAAAAAAACTAACCTTACTAACCAAACCTACCCAATCTAATAAACGAGCTATTAAAAATAGGACTTTGTTACGATAATTTACAAGTCATCGTGACTTGGAGACAACGGTATACCACTTTTACCAAGTGGTCTACCATATCCATCAATTGGTCGATCACTTCTAACAACTGGTCAACCGGCTGAACCACTGTTAGTAAAATAAGCATATTTAATTAGAGATATCCAAATTTTTTTTTTTTTGATAATCTAGAGATATCCAATATTAATAGACATGTTTGCTGGTAAAATTACTACAAAGGTTAGATGAGAAGATTCTCGAATGATTGTTTTCCCATAGTCGATTAGTCGTTTAGTATCCTACCATTACTATATAGATGTTCCCCGTGGAAACACATGGAATTGAAAAATTCTGGCTCCCTGCGCAATCCAAGGGAGGACTCCTTGGTCTTTTTGGATGAATTAATTTTCAATCTTACTATCCCACTTTTACCACTTTAGTTCCCTTCCTCTTCTACTCGGATACGCTTATAATATAATATATGTATGGGCTTGGGCTTAATTTGTTACTTTCTTACACATTAAAAATAAATCTAGAAATTCAAATAATGTTTGTCGTTCAAAGCAAAATGGGTTCATGTGGGTTTCATGGGACTGTAATTTTAGTTTTAGTTAAATATAAACAATTTATACTTCTAACCATCAGTAGATTTGTTGGATAGGATTTATGAATAAAAAATTGGAAATGTTTTATTTTACAAATATATTACTATTCATTCATGAATGGAAAAACAGATTGCGGAAATACTATCATTCTCATGTGTACCTTGGACATACTAAAATACTATAAATTTTCAAATTGTGAAATTTATTCTACTAGATGAGATAGATACCGAGTTGGATATGATTCACACACTTAGTTTAATTAATGTATTTTCAATTTGCATATGAAAGACATTCTTCTCATCGCACTCACTTTGCTACTAACAAATCTACAAATTTCGGAAGGACTAATTTGGGTTATGGTAAAATTAATGTCATTTGAATTTATGTATTTTGTTGTGTGCTATAATTTAGGGGTTAAAAACAATTTTTATTCCATAATCATTATCCTGGCACTAATATAAAGAGGTTCTCCATAAAAAGACACTTCATTCTAAATTTTCAGCCTTCTGAGTAAAGTTAGAAAGGACATTTTTATCCTTTTAATTAATAAAAACCTAAGCAAAATAATATTTTTATTAAAAAAAATTTGTTGGTAACTTTTTTAAAACCAATTATCGAACTATTAATTTTAGTTAGTACATATAGTTTGTGATATTTTAGTAGAGGGTTGTGCGTGTCTATATATGTTCAGGTTTTTATTTAATTTTATGTTATTATAAGGTAAGTGTTTGAGAAAAATTCTTATCGAATGTCCCCGTAGGGACAAACAAATTCTTATGTGTGATTTTGCTAAATATCTAATTCTTAATAACTTAACTAAACAAATCAATACTTTCAATTATAACTTTGGAATGAGGTTTTCCATAAAACAGATATAAAATAAATAATCACGCATTAATAAGAATTGATAATGGTGAGGAGATTTATGAATTTAATTATCAATGAATGATTAATTAGTTATTAATTTATTCCTCAATTCTTCTTTTAGGTATTGATTTTCTTTTAGAGCGATGAAATGTAGATCATAATCTACATCTAGAGATTAGAAGTTCAAAGTTTAAAATCAATAGCTAGATAATTTCTTCTTATGTTCTTTTTCCGAGAAACGATATAAATTTATTAGATCAACCACCTTAGATCTAGGTTTGTGATGTATAGTTTTCTTTTATCATAGCGGCAAACCGACAACTCCGTTTGCTTTCTTTTTTCATCAAATATTAGTCAGAGAATTATATTTGCGTGATGATTATTCTTATCAAAATTTCCTTTGACGCCAACATATTACTTATGTTATGTTATAACTACTTCAGTATTATATTGAGTTGTTAAATTAATTCATACTATTATTGAGCACTATATTTATTGATTCACACATCGAAAATATCTTCACCTAGGAAAACATCTTATTGGCAAAACAGTGTTCCACTATAATCTTCAAAAAACCAAGTAAAAGGGACGAAATTTTGCTTCATAAGCTCCTTTAGTTACAGCTGGCACAAATCTCAAGGGCTATAGTTAATGGATTTTAATTTCCCGCAACGGACTGTAACTCATTTGTTTCAACTCTATTTTTTTATAAATAAGAGTGATATAAATTAATTATAATAATTAGGTGCTACATAACTGATTTGAACATCTGACCTCCAGATTCTCAAATTTGATTTTAAATGGACTAGAAAAACATATTAGTTGAAACTTGCCATCAAAAGTTGAATAAGTATATGATGAGTAATCTTATAAAAATTATGTAACAACATCGAGATAATGGTAATTAGGTAACAATCTACCTCTGTTCTTCTATTGTTTTTAACTTCAAGTTCATTCATTAGAGTGAAAAACAATGTATCCATTAAAATATAAAGTTTTCGACCAAATAATGTACCTCAATTGTTATTATTTTATAGATCCATGATTAGCTACAAGTTGTAGACAATATTTGTTTAATCTAACTTTATTATTCTGTATACCGGGGGGAGTTAGATTTTTTGGAACATCGATTGAGAAATAACTTAAAGATAGTTGCAAAATGAGAGAACATTCACCTCCTCATCCCATACAAACCGAGACCATGGAGTTAATTTTCAGATCAAGCTCACAGATTACAACATCGCTAACCCCGTAAGTGGGTGCACAGTTTTGAAGATAATGAGGATGAAGAAGGGCAATATCAGACAAAGATCATGACATGTACGGGCTAGAAAATTTAAGTTCTTGAAAAATGAACTTTTAACAATCAAAGTATTTTGTCGTTAAAGTTTTGCATTCAGTGAAATGCAAGAGAAGAAGGAAAAGTATGTCAATAGCAAATGTAGTGAATTCAAGGATGGACATAATGACTTTGTATGAGGTGAAATTATACTACCAAGAAAAGGTGTTTCACATTTCCAAATATCTTAATATTTAAATTTGGTTTTCAATGAAATACAGGAGAAGAAGGAAGAGATCATTGATGGTAAATTCATTAATGAAAATGATGTTCTGTGGAGTAGATACTTTTTATGGGAGAACAATAAAAAAAGAAATTAAAAAGGAACATTGCAATAATATATAAGAACAAAGAGTAAATTGAGATGCATTTTGAATATGAATTATTTTAGTAATCGGTTTCACCCGTGAGTTGTGTTGTTTACTTCTGATAAGGTCTTTTGTCCATGGATGATCAAGATGCCACAAACTTATAAGTTATTACGTATGTTGTTTTTTCTTATATTTTCAATATTTAAATAATTTGTACTATTTCATTGTCAAATAAATGATTTGGATAATTATTATACTATGGATGTAATTCATCCGGCCAACGGGCGGGCCCAACTCTAGTATTTAGAACGACATTTAACGTTGAAGAATTTATTTTTTCTCTCTGTATATGGGTTGGCAATTTGGGCCCAAACCTATCGATTAATGGGTATTTCACAGTGATTAATTGTATTGAACAATCGTTGGACTTGTAGTCTGTAGCTACAACCGAGTTGAGCCCATCTAGTTGCAAGGCCCAATCATTCCTCACTATATATCAGCCGAATCTCCATGAACAATAATACTACGCATTTTGTAATAGCTTGAGACATGACGTTCACGGGAAGTTAGTCTCATGGAAATATAAGAATTACAGCTTATTTCTTTTTGAACATGGTATTGCCGAAAATATACAAATATATTAGCTCATAAAAAGATGGGAATTTCTCACCATGTAAGGGATTTTATTTAGATTCACGAGGATGACTAATTACCCGGTGAGAACATGTTTCTGATCCTGACATATGACTATCTTGATAAATGAGAAATTCTAACTCTTATTTTCCTAGACAATAAGGACTAGAAGCAAAACAAAAATACAATTCAATTCGCGACTTATCATAATACCATCCAATTACCCACTTGCAAGGTAGAAATCCAACATCTCAATCTCATAATCATTGTGAATACCCCTTGAATTCACCAAGAACGTAACCTTATATTGTTTCCTCCAATCGACCTTTTCAATTTCCCTGCTCTAGTAATATGCAAACACTTTGAATACTTCCAGTCCAAATCACTCCACACACGTTGAAAAATTACATACAAAGCAACCATCCGATATTCATTGCTTTTTCAAATCTCAAATCTTCACATATATTATACTAGTTGAAAGTCCATTTACACTTACTTGCTATCGAGCTGGAGATCGATCAAGCGGCCACGATGCAGGTAGTGCAACACGATGGAGAATTCCTAAGGGATCGCATGATCCAATTTTGTCGATCGACGACCGGCCAATCAACCGGGACAGACCGCTAAATGAAAGGGGGGAAATTTGACGAACCCAAAAAGCTCGTTTAGCCAATCAGATCAATGCGATCCCTTTGGAACTCTCCAATCTGCACTATATTTCAGTTCAAAGGAACGAACAGTAAATATAACAATTGAGATTTGAGAGAAACAGAGAGGCTGAAGATGAGAGAAAAATAGTGTGAAGAAGATGGGAGAAGACTGAAGAGCGAAGGAGAAAGAAAGGGTTTGATGATCTATAAATAAATACAAACAAATAAGTAAAAGGCTTGGTGATGCTCACTCACAGTCACATGTAACTGTTTACCAACCAACGCAGTACGTAGCGTCGTCCGTCCATTGCCTTCTTTTTTTATGCTTCACGCTTTTGGTGTGACCGTCTGGACCGTTTTACTTCACACAGTTCACAGTTCTCCCACTTTGCCTTTTCTGCTTCTTTTGCTAACCCAGGCCCAGTAATTGCCGTTACATATCCCGCGTTGTTATTTTATTGAGGCTGTGATCGGTCCGTGTTCGTAAAATCGTATGGTATCGGTGCTTCGATAGAGGGGGGAAAAAAACATTTACTGGAGTTCAAATCGGTTGACGGTTTCAACGGTATGAAAAGGTTAAAAAAATGTTTAAACTATGATGTCGACGCAGAATATCATCACATCACACTAACTTCTCCGATAGAAATCATTGATTGTGAATTGTGATCATATCCTTGAAGATGGAGCATCCCTGTGGCAGGAATATTCTTCAATTTCGTCCGTCGTAAAAGTTCATCTCAAACTTTCGAATTCAAATTTGTGAAAAATCCATTTCAAACAAGTGTTTTTTTTTTAACTCACACTAATGAAAAAAATTTCATATTTCAAATATATGTCGACCTGACCTAATTTGCGTCACAAGATAAATTATCCGACCTGTCACAAGGTAGATATAAACATTAAAATACCTTCCACGGAACAAATATTAGTATCGAGATACCTGCCCAACCTTTGCGTTGTAATTTCTAACTGTAGGAGGAGTGTCTGTCAGTCATATGGCTCTTAATGCAGGTATTAGTTTCAATCAAACAGCTAATGCTGTCTGGAAGAAGCCCTACACTTGGTTTGTTTTTCAAGAAAATGACCATTCTATCACTTTCTCTATTATTCCTCTCTTTCCATTTGCTTCAATAATTTATATTATCCCTCGGATTTGTATAAACCACAGCTTGATTACGATTAGTTGGTTGGCACTTGGCAGATAGCCACAAATCAATTGAAAATATCTAAACCATTCGTGTGCGCCATACATCCCATGTAAATTCCTAGGTAGGAATACGTCGTCGTTAATTACTAAATGGTCACACGATTTTGTGGGTTTGTAATAAAATGATTACTAAACTAGAAATTTGAACAAAACACTATATAGATGTTTCGTGCCCAATTCGTCGTTAATTGAGATGAGTTAACCTATCAAATTACTGAATAATCTTAATTATGTCCTCGAATTCGCTAGTTATCACCATAAGCGCCCACTTTGATCCCATTACACTCACAATCCAAGATTCAACTTGTAGATCCGACATTTCAAAACCTAGATTTCGAGGTTTGAAACCGATTGGATAGGGTTAGGGGTCTAGTTTGTGGGAACGATGAAATGCATATTGGACAGTGTTGATGACTTGTCAATCCTGCTTAACACATGACGACTTTGGTCGATCTGAGAGGAAATCACACGAGGGCGAATCAAGGACCGGTCATCATGACTAACCAAATCAATATTTTGACTAGCTAGCTTTTATTATCAAATATCATAGTAATCTTTCTTTTTCCATGATTAACAATTCACCCCCCGAGCTAATTAGGTTAGAGGTGATCTGATCCACATTTTTTTTTGGGTCAAATTAGAACTCCTTGGGAGTTCTTTTCCAAACCAACCTGCTCGACAACGGTTACAAACAGATGCACCAAAGATGACATAGCAAAATAGGAATTTGGAGGTGGATTGAATAGCCGTGAGAGGCTGAGAGTTTGAGACTGGTACCCAATTCCCTTACTTATTAGGCAAAACATGACATGCAAACGAGGAAAGCAGATGATTCTTTTTATGATATTGTAGCGAACATGCACTACCTCATCTGCCATAATGGCAGCTATGTTTGTGTCATGTGATCTGTTGGGAGGGTTGCCTCTAAGATGTCGTCTCCAACGATCCAAACCTACCCTCGACCATCCTTCAGCGGAAAAGAGAAAACACCAAAAAAAAAAAAACATGGATTTTTAGATTACGTCATATAATCGTTTTATCATATCCACCGTTGCTAATACTTAATACTTATTTACATATTTTTCATAGACAATCTCGCAGGGCAATTATTAGAATTATTAAACCACAAATAATTAAGAATCGAATTACTGTTCTTCAAGATAATTTAGGAGTTACTGTTCATCTAGGCATAGCTATCACATGGCCGGGGACGGTTTTATTGTAACACCTACTTCTGCCACTTTGGGCTGGGGAAGTTGATCAATTAGTGGGTCTACACGATTATAGCGTTTGGATTCAGATCGACATAAATTCACGTGTCCCCTTTCTCTTTTTACATATTTAACCACAAAAATAAGTACTATTATCCCCCTAATTTTTGTCCTAGGATAATTTTTTTTTGTATTTATATATCGAGAAGACGTGAGAAGCAATGAGATGAGAGCTATTAGCCTCCTTCCTTCAACATTTATTCAGATGGGTGGTAGGTATAATAGGCCCCTCTACTATGACGTTTTATCAAACATGTCCCTCTACTATTTTTTACATCAAACATGCCCATGTACTTTGAAAAAATTATCAAATATGCCCTTCTGTTAAAATTTCCATTGAAAAAAAATCGTCAGTCATGGTTGAACCGAGATTTAGACGACCCGACATCGACAAATGGGAGCGATGATGTCAGTTTTGTCTCCAGTTTTATTTCTCCGAGTCTCTTCAAAGTGAAATTATTTGGCTATACAAAAGAACAAAAAACAATTCTAAAGTGAAATTATTAGGGATATTTTAGACATTTGTGCCGCCCAGACCAAAGTTCGACCCTGGTTAATGGTTTTTGGATGAAAATTTAAACAAAATGGCATGTTTGATCATTTTTACAAAGTACAGAGGCACGTTTGATGTAAAATAACAGTAGAAGAGCATGTTTGATAAAACGTCATAGTAGAGGGACATATTATACCTATAACCTTATTTAGATTTAATCCGTAAAACGTGTTACTATTTCTTTTTTTTTTAGCCCTTTTTTCGCTTCGAATGTTAGCTTCGATCATGATGATTAAGTAGGAAATGATTGAACCATTATATCACGAGTACACTGTACACTTGCATATCTGGTTACAAACAAGGCCCATGGATGATAATAGATGCATGGATGGTTTATGTGCTTGGAGTAAGGATGTCCCCTAGGGCTAACACCAAATGGGTCCGCCTTGTTCCCCTCGTCGACTCTTCCACCACTTCTTTTATTTCTCAATCACTTCTCCAAAACCAGAATTTTTCTCCACTCCCCCTTTATTAAAGGCTTTAAAGTTTAAACCAAACCACCTTTTCGATAACCCTAGCACCATTCCGTGCAAAAAAAGTAGTGAAGAAGATGGAAATGGAAGTGCAATATCTTCCAAAACATTGGACGATGGATGGAGTTTTGGACAACACTTGCCGGTAAAAACTTACAAAAAGTTGTCCACTCTCCATCCTAGCTTTATTCTTCTTGGTCCTCAACTTCTCCCATTAGCTTTTCGTATATGAAAACTACTCCCGACCTTCCGTGTCTACCCTAAAAGCTTGACAAAGGTTCCTTTTTGAGGGTAGCTAACTTGCTATCCGACATCAGATTCAACACACCATGTCTTATCAGAGAGAAAGCTATAACGTATCTTATGATGATATTTCACTTATAGTTGGGTTTTGGTTTTTATTTTTTCCCGTCAGGTGTCGTGTCTTTGCTCCTCGGAGCTTCTTCAGAGCTGCCCAAGTAGTGGCTTTACAGGCTCTTTCATCGTAGTCTGGTTGCATACGGACTAACGCGATGGGTTTGAGTCTATATTGTAATTGTGTCGAGTCTTTGTCCCATGCCCTTTGGGCTTGCCTTGGATAAAAAAAGGTAAGAATTTAAGATGGATAACTATCCACGTCGATCATACCAAAGTAATGCAAAAATAAAATTTGTTAAAATAGAATGGAATAATTTTATTCGATCTTGATTTCGTGAATTTTCATATATATATAAATGAAAACGTGGACTAAAATTACAATTGAATTGTGTCGAAAGTAATTTTGATTCGTTTCTAACTCCTTATGTTTATATATTTTTAATTTAATTCTGCAATGATTCACTCTCGATTTTGAATCTAATCAAATGGTGCCCAGCCTACCTATAATCAACCCATCATGAATTAACAATTTACTCCCTTTTCATTTCAAAGGCTCATTGCTGTACAATGCCATAAAGCTCAAGGCTCATCCCTACTTCCCTAGACATCCACTTAAAGAGTTAAACGGGTATTTAAAAAAAAAAAAACTAAACGGGCAAGAATTAAGAATAAACGGCCCAAAATAAATAAATATAAAAAGCGAGTATATAAAAAAAAAAAAAAGTGAGGAGCCTATTACTAGAAAGCCCAAAGGCTCGATCAACATGGAATCTCAGCCCTAAATAGTAAATACAACAGTCGATATATGATTTTGAGAAAATTGAATAATATAAGGGCCCAAAGCCCGATCAATATAGAATCTCAGCCCAAAATATAAAAGTTGACGAAAAATCAGAAAATTGAATAATATAAGGGCCCAACCGGGTTCGAACCGGTGACCTCTTGATCTGCAGTCAAATGCTCTACCACTGAGCTATGGACCCTTTGATATTGATTTTAAGTAAACCATCATCTTTAATCTCATTTATATTAACTATCAGCACTATTATTCCCGCCAACCGTCGTCCTCCGCAGCCGCCGCCTCAGGAATCCGTGGCCGTGGCCGCACTGGTTTGCTCTGATATGCCGTTGTTTTCTTGGTTTCTTCAATCAATTCCGCTCGTTGGGATGATTACTCATTTGTGCCTCCATTAGGAAGGAATTGAAGGGATTAAGATTCGAATTTTGAGGGTTAGCGGGGGTTTTCAACAGTCGGGTGAACAGCACCACTCGCAATTCACAGCCGCCTTTTTTTTCTCACTGGAGGAAGGCCGCCCGCCGCGAGCGGGGAAAGCCGCCAGAAGCAGCCGGCGACGGAGACAATGGTGTCACAGCACGGGATCCTGTACGCCGTCCATCTCGTCACCGACCAGTTCGGCAATCTCGTCGCGGTAACTTTGCGGGCGTGCTTCTCTGTGATTGTGCTAAGTATCTCTCTCAATTTCCACCTGAAAAATCGCTTTATGTCTCGCCATTATTAACAGAAAGTCTGTGAATGTCTCCTGCGCAACGGAGCATTGCCCATCCACGCCATAGTTCGACGAACTGAGCTCCCTCCGGCTAAAGTCAAGAACAGCTTGCTCGTCTTAATCCAGCACAACTGCGCGCAGGCTTTCATCCTCGAAGAGAGCGGTGGGTTTTTTTTTTTGTTCGGTGATAGAGTCAGTTTTCTTTTCAATCGATGGCGTGTTGGTTTCTTGTTAGTGCCATAGGTGGAACTTCATCCATAACTGTGACTGATTTGATGACTTGATTGGTCATTTTCCTCAAGTCTCAACAATGGAGGTAAAAGCTAAAGGTATCTGATTTTGATTGTGTTTGAACGTTGGCAGTGTCTGGGGAGGATGCTGGAGAACCAGGGAAAGCCCACACACAGTACATAGCATTGTTTGTCAACATACTTCATCGTGTGAGGTTTTCCAAGTTCCTGGATGTGGTGTCAAAGGAACTCGGTGGCTCGGTTCGTATTTGTGCTTGGTTCGTTGTTCAGTGTTTGGTGGATTTTTAGTGTGAGATGTTTCGATCAGAGTTGATTGGCAATTTGCAGTGTGGGGAACTCTTCAGAGGTTTGCTAGAACACGGAAGGCTCACAGTAAAGCAAATAGTGGATAGAGCTGATGCAAATGCCAAGGAGAGTAAGTGTTCCTGGACTCATATGCCTCTTTTCTAGGATCATGTGAACTTTACTCATGCTACTCCTTCTAACTCAAGTTGCTGCTCTTATGATAGTTCAGTTACTAAATATGTTTTAGACATCTGGTGTGCTAGAAGAGAAATGGGTTGTATTTCAACTTACATGGTTAATAGAAGAGATCGGTCTTGTTTAGTAGTGATACATTGTTTAGACAATATTTAGTTTCTCTTCAGCTCTATCAGTCATTTGTGGTTTTTTGTCCTCTTATATATGATTTTCATTTGCAGTTAAATTCAGATTGATTCTGTACATATAATCAAGTTGATGTGGACTTTGTCCTATTTTCTTTATTGAGAATGAACAGGTACCAACACAGTGCAGGAAGACCTTCATAAACTTGTGATGGCCCATTACGTTGAATGTTGTCCTGCTCCTGAACCTTTAGTTCCCCCACCCGATCCCGATGCAAAGAAGCTTGCTAAATCTTCAAAGGTTATTTGCTGAACTCTGGAAAGTTTATTATGTGACAACAGTCCTGCAATGATTGAACTTGCGGAGGAATAGATAATACAGTCTAATGTAGTAGTTATATCTATTGCATGTAGATATCAGAATTCTGTCCTGGAACTGTAGGAATAAGTATTGGTGTCTTTCCAGAAGAGAAAAGTTGAGCAAATGAGTGATGGAAATTTTAGCAATAGTTGTAGTTCTTAGCAAATTGTACTGCAAGAATTTGGAGTTTTCCCTCTCACTGTCATAAAGTATTAGGTATATCTATTGTATGTAGATATCAGCATTTTGTCCTGGGATTGTAGGAATAAGTTATCTTCTTTCTGGCAATGGCAGGTAATGGTGGAGTCATTAACCCTAGAGCAGCGTGTTATGGCTGTAGCAATGCCTTCATCGATGAGAAGATTTTCATTTGTACCTAACACAGATCAAATAGCGGATGACCAGCAAAATGTGAATCAGCCCCCGAATAAAGATGTTGGTCAAAAGGTTGGTTTTTTAGGTTGTGTTACTAAAGCTATCTGGCATCGTCCATTCAGCCATTGGAGTTTGATTTTGTAGCGCAAGCTTCATGATTTGGAGTCTGATCCGGCACTTGAAGAAGAGGTTGAATGTAATTGGCGTGCAAATTTTGAGGAATTGCTTCGTCGTCTTCGACACAAGGTTAGTTTTATGGTTTTGCTCACTCAAATTGTACATGCATGCATTTATTGTCCGTGAAATTTTTCTTTGTTTCTCTTGATGTTGTTTGATCTGTGTAGCAAGATCAAGCTCCATGTCATCATTTTGGGAAGTGAGAAACTGACTATGTCTTACCCTTTCTCAAGGAGACATGATTTTATCATCTCAAGCTCCATGAAACTTGGTCTGTAGTGAACGATATATGGGTTAATGACAAACAAGAGAAGTAGTAACCATGCAGTTTAATTCATGCTAGTGTAAAATGAACATGTGCAACGTTTTAGAACAGAATAAATGAAGCCTTGTGAATCCTTTTATTTTGACCTTTATTTGGTTGGTAATTTCACAATAGGAAAAGATCTTACAGTTTCCTCTTGTTCTTGAGCATGCTAGTCTCTCTATCTTGCATACACTATTCTTCCAATGATATTTTTTCTTACGTCGTAGGCCTGTGTCGATACCATAAAAGCACGCTTCGATGATGTAGCTGCAACTGTTCTTAGTGCAATGCTGGCGGCATCTAGAGCTGAAGAGAACAAAGTCAAAACTGCAAACTCAGGTGAATTTTATTTCACTAGTTTGGTTTGTTGCTATCTGGACATTCAATTGTTATAGTTGTTTCCGGATAAATATTTTATTACATGCTCTTTCCTTGTTGATTCATGATGCTGGTGGAGGACTTTTACAGTGCCGTTATCGCTGGATACCATATATGAAGAAGTTGTCAAAAACGAAAAGAATCACAGTATGACTTTCGATCATGTCAGAACATGCCTCGAAGAGTTGAGCTCTCCTCCAGCCTTTGTAAGAACGGACGATGAATCATATAGTATAGGTACTTCCTGCTAGGCTTGTTCACTCTTTGGTATTATTAATAGTCCATTCTTCAATTGTTTTCTTTTGAATTTGATTATTCTTGACTGTTGTTAGTGTTGATTGACATGTTCACACTTGTGTAGATTTCACTCAAATCATTGAAGCAGCTCAGAATCAAGAGGTCTGTTTTTCCTTTGTTCGTTGGCCCCAGATGGTTGAAGTAGTGGTTGGGTTACTGATGTTCACCAATATTTCTGACTCTGCAGATTGAGTCCATAATTTTGAAAAGATATGGAGAGGCAGCACATAAAATTTTCCGCTTACTCTTTGGAGTTGGCCGCCTCATGGAAACAGATAAGGTAAATGATGAAGAGTGTCAGGAAATCCTCGACAATCATACTGTGGATCCACAGTTTTGGTTGAGACTTGTGTGACCGGCAGTAATTCCTTTCAGTGAAAGTTCTGCACATCTGTTTCATAAATTCGCACTTCATTCCCTTGTGTAGATTGCTGATACGATATTTGCCGAGAAGAAGGAGACATCGAAAACGCTTTACAAATTGTGGCAGGATGGATACTTGCTCGTGGAGGTAACTATCACCTTTTTCTAAAGCAAAACTTGTTTCTGCACTGCCTTAAAAGTAATGATCGGTTTCTGGTCAAACATCTGAATCTTGTTCCTAGCTATGGTGGTTCTTCGTACTTATTGTGGAAAGTAAATAAGCGGCTTCTTTGGGGGACAGTCGTGGATGAAGCTGGACGACGCGATTATGCTCTTCCATGATTTCTAGTTTTATCCATTCTTTCATTATAGACCGATTCTGTTACACATTTTAGGTCTTCTAACTTGACATATATGTATATATATCTAGATCGCATCTTATATTCTGTCATCATTTAGTTACTAGTAGCATATTTGAATAGACTCTCAACTTGTAGTTCACCCCAGCATAATTTGCACTTATTCAATTGCTAGCTATATATATATTGTATACACTTGTATCCTAATTTCTATAATGTATACACTTGTTCTTTTGGTTCAATTATACGAAACAAGCAAGAACTCTTTGTTTTTGGTTTGAGATCCATCCAATTCTTGAATTGCTTGTTTGCTGCGTAACTTTGATAAACATACAATCCATTAGGGTCGTATTAAAAACAAAATCAATTGTTCTCATTTGTTGTCCAAGTTGCTTGATAAATGAGCTCACCTAGCTTTTGAGAGGGATTTGCCGGAAAATTACCCAAACCTAATATTTCAACAAGGGACTTGAAAGCCTCGCGATTCTCATCCAAAATTATTGATAAATGATGTTAGATACTAGTGCTTATATTGAAAACTTATATTTATGTTATCTATAGTCTAACTTGACTATCAATATTTGTTTCTTCCTTGATGATTAGGCTTTGTGATTCTAATATTTGTGTGCAAGATAGTTAACGATTTAATTTTGTGTATTTTCCAGCTTCAGTTCTCCACGACCACATTTTGCCGTATCGATTTTATGTGTATTTCACTCATTTGTTTTACTTACTAGCTTGTTGTCCGACCCGTTGGTCGGAATGTCATTTGATTACAAAGTAACTTTAAATGTATTTAAAAATTGTAGAACCCGTTTTGGAGCGCAACTTTGGTCGGACCTAGTCCAACCATCCGTCCGGTAGAGGTGTAACAATTTTGGTTATAACACTCGGGAATAACCATTCATAATTGTCTATTTAATTATGTAGTCACTTAATTGCCTATAGTGGAAAAGAAAATTGACATAACAAAAAAGAGTTTGTCTGAAAAAGCGTAACGTAAATATGAAACTCATGATCATAACCTTTAGTCAACGGTTAACCAAACTAAAATTTTTAAAAAATTGGCGACTTACAGTTTGCATACTAATATCATTGCTTTAATAGTTCTAGAAATTGATGCTAAGTTAAGTATTCTACATCACATCTACACATTCAATACTGCAATTCAATATGCAATATTCGAACCAATGATATTTGGGTTGCAATTTTAAAATTATTCTTCATTTATAGGATAGACATAAATTAAATTTATTATTAAACTCCAATTAAAATAACCAAAATATGAAAATTTAAATATCAAATAACAAAGAAAGTGCTTACGGGAGAGTTGGAGAGAAATAATATTGTTTCACAAGGTAACGGGTACTCGAATTTGGTTCATAAGACTGATTTTTTATTGCATCATTCATGCCTTTTTTTGTTGCTAAAATTCACTATCTTTATCACGTGTTTCCAAATAAAACTAAACAACAATAATCTATACACTTCATTACATTCTCAAATTTCATAACTCACCTCCTCCGACCAACTGGCTGGGGCTCCACGCTAGTATATTTGTAGATTAATAATTTGAGTAATATAGAACACGTGATTAATAAGTTTTACTCGAATTTACTTCATTACTAGTATATTTGTAGATTAATAATTTGAGTAATATAGAACACGTGATTAATAAGTTTTACTCGAATTTACTTCATTACTAGAATTTAAGGTGGAGAGAAACTTTTTAGGACCACATGAAATTAGCAAGTGAATCATATTTTAAAAAAGGTGACAAGTCTACCAAATATTATCTAGTACCCAATTAATTTCACATAGTTATAAACCATCCAATCGCAAAAAAAATTTATATAAACAATATATATTTTCCGAGGGGGATTAACACCTAGTTTGTCGGCCCAATTTAGCCCTTTGGTCCGATCGAGCAAGTGAGTGGATGGTTAATGATCTGATCACTTTATCTCGATTTAACCCGGATATATAAAAAAATTTATCATACTCTTCACACATTTATAAATAATATCAAGGACAGGGTCATAAACTAGTTAAAAAAGAGTCTTAGTGCATGGCCGCACCTACCTTCCTTTCTTCACGTAAAATTGTAATCATCATCAAACTAATTGCCGGCTTGCCGCTATTCTTTTTTTTCTACGGCCGGGGGAACCTTTTGGTAACTAAACATCTTCCTAATCTTCCATACCCTTTTCTTATTAATTCTCCATCTGTCATCTTCCACTTAATCCTCATTCTTTCCATAACTTGAAGCTAATCGAACAAGCAATTTTTAAACCTGTCCCTATCTTCAGCTTCTTTTTAGCGACATCAACAAGGTAATGACAGCCTTCCCTCTCCCAAATCTCTGGCTCTTTTTCAGTATAATACAACCAACTTAAACCTTCAATCCCTTCCATAAGTAACACCTTACGAAAAATTTCATAAATCATATATTCCTTCCTCAATCTTTCCTTTCGTCGATCCCACTAATTAATTACAATCAAGCACAAATGATCTCCTCCTCCAATACCCATTTCCCCGTTAAGTATTCACATACATAAATAGCTCTCTATGATCTTCCTCCGTTCTTACTACTTTCTCATCATCCATCCCAATTAGTTACAATGTCGGATTTCCTTCTCTTTGTCGCGCTCGTTTCATACTTCATTTCGCTCAATTTAGAAGGTAAATTAATTTGATACCGTCGAACTAACAAGTGTGTTTTTTTTTTTCGTTTTAATTATGTACGTGTTGAATTTAACGCGCAGTTGGTGGAGCGACGAGCATTGGGATCAACTACGGCCTGCTGGGAGACAACCTCCCGCCGCCGGAAAGATGCGTCAGCCTGCTGAAGTCGAGGAATGTGAATCGGGTCCGGATCTTCGACCCGAACCACGACGTCCTCACTGCGTTGGCTAACGCCGGCGGGATGGAAGTAGTCCTGGGGACGCTGAATGCCGATCTGGAGCAGCTGGCCAGCAGCCCGTCCTTCGCGGCCCAATGGGTCTCGGCCCACGTAATCCCCTTCCGGCCCAGATTGAAATTTCGCTACATCACGGCGGGGAACGAGGTCATCCCAGGCCCAATGGCCCATCTCGTTCTAAACGCGATCAAGAACCTCGACTCCGCCCTGAAATCGGCGCAAATCACCGACGTCCCCGTCACCACGGCGATCGGCATGGCGTCGATCGGGAAATCGTACCCCCCATCGGCGGGCGAATTCTCCGACGAATCGAGGCCGTACGCCGGTCCGGTCGTCGAATTCCTCGCATCGAACGGCTACCCGCTGCTGGCCAACGTGTACCCTTACTTCGCCTACAAGGGCGACCCGGCGAACATCGCCCGGGAGTACGCGTTGGGGAATTCCGTCGCCGGAGGCGGCGGGAAGAGGGTGGTCGACGGGAATTTGGAGTACCGGGGGTTGTTCGACGCGATGGTGGATGCGATGTACGCGGCGGCGGAGAAGGTGAATGGGGGAGGGTTGAAGGTCGTGGTGTCGGAGACAGGGTGGCCGAGCGCCGGAGCTGAGGTGGCGACGGTGGATAACGCGAGGGCGTACGTGAACAACGTGGCGGCGAAGGCCCGTGCCGGCGCCGGGACGCCGAGGCGGCAGGGGAGTGAAGTGGAGACGTATTTGTTTGCTCTGTTCAATGAGGATTTGAAGCCGCAGGGAGAAGAGCAGAATTTCGGGTTGTACCGACCCGACTTGACGGAGGTTTACAAGGTTGATTTGAATTAATTGCAGTTTTTTAGTTCAATGAGCATGGGAACGGCGTCGTGCTCTATTTAATTTAGTTTTAGTATAGTATTCGGTCTATTTCATTTGTAAGCCTTTTACCTGTTTCTTGAAAATGTCAGCTCGATTTCTCTCTTGAAAAGAATAATAAACTCTTTTATCGAAAAGGAATAAAATAAACTAGTCACGGGCCCGGCCAGTTGGCCGGATTCAGTTGTCAATCATGCAAATAACAATAACAATTTGTATTCAGTTATATATTAGTATAAGAAAATCTAAGTTCTTCAAATACTTTAAACATTCAAATCAATTGGGAGAATAAGTGAATCCAAATTATTAAAATAGTTCAACAATTCAAAAGAATGAACATTGTAATCCGACATAGTAATGCCTAATTGACGAAAATATTTTTACGGAAATGAAAGAAAACTCCCATGCAAGGGACCGAGTCCTAAATACCATTTAAAATGACCCTTCTAACTAATCCTCATCGTTATCTATTAGCGACACATTTATCTCCAATATCAATTAACACTTCCTTCGTCTCTTGGATTTCAATTATCTCTTCCTTGTTTTCCTCTATTTCATCGAGCACAGAGATTTGATGTTAAACTATATTTGCAAATACAAATCATCTTTTTCATTGGAGTAGAATTCACCTCATCCAAGTTACGAACATTATCCCAGATTTGTTCTTTCTCCCCATCACCAGTATGTATACCTTCCTCACGAAAATGTTTTTCTTCTTCTCAACATGATCATCATCTCTAGGTACGGATCCATTACCTCCGCATTAGTAGTGTCATTCTTGTTATCTTGCATTACCATTATGAATTCAGATTATTGACCTTCAAAAGTACAACAATCGGGATGGTTTTATCGAATCATGATTGGTCAATATATATATATATTGTAGATAAAATTGTCGCCTGATATAATTATTTGCAAGTTAGTGGGAAGGAAGCAAAGCTCAAAAAATACAGATCAGATCCTCCATATTTCCAAGCAAGCAGTGAAAGTCACTTTTGCAGCAAGGTCAGTATGACTGGTAATTAACTAAATGCCAATTTTAAACAGCTGCCTTCAACCAAACCATTCCGGTTAATTAGACTCACGGTTCCTTTCATCCGACCGTTGCATGATGTGAATTAGATTAAAGAATATAACTAAGTACTGTGCATGGTATTAAAATCCAATAGAGAATAGCACAAATTTATAATTAATATTGATCATCATTTTGATTTAAATATAATTTACCTCGATCAAGTTAGGAATATCGTCGGTGGTATGCTCTTCCTCATCCTTCACTATTTTGATAATTGTATACTCACTTATTAGATTAGCGATGTAGTAATTTGTGAGCTTGATGTCGAACTGCAACATCATTCCCTCAATTTGTAGGAGATGAGCATGTGGTGGTCCTCTAATTTTATCATTGTCTTGGTATAGCCTTTCAGCCGACATTCTAAAAAAACAACCTTCCACTCCATCCATAACAACAAAGTTAGTTCCTCCTGTTTTGTCTGCAACTCGAAGGTTGATCCTGAATCTGTATAATGATGGTAATAACATAAAAAATTTAAAATTGTTGAAGTACACGTTACTTTTTAGGTATTAAATACAAAATCTTAATTATTTAGTCAATAATACAAAAATAGTTTCATTAGGTACGATAGGTGGGCATAAGTTGTTTAGATATTTTATTTAATACTTTAGTATGTATGTAAGGTTTTCGCTTGCATAAGTACAATGCATTGCTAATTATTAAGGAAAATGTTCTTTTTTATGCATTAGTAATATAATCTTTGAATTGTAAAAAAATAATATAAATTTTATTTTGACAGATTAAATATTCAATCACTTGGCATGTATATTCATCAATGAACTATACCTAATCAATTTCATGTTAATAATGGTTGCATTACCTTGATGTTGTCGTTTTAATGTCTTTGTAGAATTCCCATAGAAGTACTCGTCGGAGTCTTCTTCGAGTTTTTGTGGGCAGGTTTCGCATCCAGCATAGCACCATCAATTCTTAACTTTGATAACTTTGCATTTGACGGAATACATATTTCCCTACATATTACTGAAAGTGTTAGTATTTGTTAGTTAATGACTTGTTGAATCGAAACTGATGCTTAACTCTTCTCCAACTTTCATTTTTAATTGATTGAGCTCATGTAGTGTTTTAGTTGGGATTTACTGTTGAGTTTTTCTTGTGCTTTTCATTGGAGAGATTGGTGCATTGTCGACACTTTATTCACCCAAAAAGAATATTAATTAATCTCTTTTGTTCATTGAAGTTCAAATTTATAAAGCATAAAAATATATAAAGATTAGAATTGCTGTGAATTTCACCTTGGCCCAAAATTAATGACTTCTAGAATTCTAGTATTCGCCATCAGCAAGGTTGCTCCAATTGAGCAGAAGGTGTTATCGTGTGCAAATTTGATGATTTTTGAATTAATTGTCATTAATTTATTTTCAAATGCTTGTATTAATAATAAAGTAATTTAGGGCAAAGGCTAGCGTACGCCTGGACGTACCCTGACCTACCGTACACCCGTTGAGTTTTGCTATTTAGACAATGAATTAATCAGGGTTTGGGGCATGATACCATACCCTAACCCCTAATGGGTGAACCCGAGTCCGCAATTCACTAACCCAAAGCATAATATTCATTTAATCTTGAAATGAAAATTAACGGTTCTGATTCATCGAAACTATTGTTGATTTTCATTTTAAGATTAAACGAATCTCATGATTTGGTTTAGAAAACTAAGGACTGGGGTTTATCCATTAGTGGTTAGGGTATAGTATCATGCCCAAAACTTCTGTTAATTCATGATCTAAATAGCAAAACTCAAACGGGCGTACGGTAGTCTAACGGACGCCCGGACGTACGCTAGCCTGAACCGTAATTTAGATGTATCTTTACCATTGTACTTATCAATATATAATGACGTAATGACCAGGATGAGAGGGTGATCACCCGCACTTGCAATGATGTCATTTTATTGAGTAATTATCCTACCAAAGAGAGTTATCTTGACAACTAAACTAATGTTAGTAAGGGTATTTTACTTCGTCTCTAAACTACAGTTGGTACAGGTAAGTTGTGTATAAAATACATATTATTTTTTATTCCATATTCATTGTTTTTGTGATAAAAGTACTGATGGAGATGAACTACCTTCTCCACTAAGAGTCAAAGAACAATGCAAAGTTATTAAAGTTAAAGAATTAAAGTATCATTTTATTATTTGGATGACTCTCCTCGTGAAGTTTTAGGCATAGAACTACAAAAATTTAGCTAAAAAGTATTCAATCTAAATAATATAAGAAAAATAGTTGACAATGACAAACTTCTGACATGAGCATAATGGAGATATTTATATTCAAACAAATACTACTACTATTTATCATGGTTAGTAAAATACGTTACAGGTAAGTTGTGTATAAAACACGTACAGGTATTTTACTTCGTCTCTAAACTAATATTAGTACGTCAATAGTCATAAATATATAAAAATTAATTATTTTAAATATAAATAATAGTTAAGTTAGTAATTTAATTCATTAAATACGGATATTAAACGTGTTATATCATATATGGGGTTTTTCGTATTTAGTACGGGAGTCGCCAAATGAACAGGAAAAAATAAAACGACTTGACAAAAATACAGATACAGAAATTTTAAATGAATAAAATACATACAGATACATATACATGTATTAAACTGAGTATTTACTAACTATGTTATTTATAATCAAAGAAATAATATAGACAACTATGCTATCAAGGAAATAATATAAGGAGCTGACATAATTGGACCCAATTAAAGTCTGTGTATGCTCATAATTGGACCTGTTTTGCCTTTGTTAAAATTGAGTTTAACATCTAATGATGCTGCGCGTGTAATTACCTTCCCCAGGCCCAATTAAAGTCCTCGTTGATTTTATATAAATGCCCCTCCGTCGTTTGCGCAGAAGGCAGGGAATTTTGAATTAATGAGGTTCTGGAGGAGAACCTCCATATAAGTATGGTTTAGATCCTATGATAATAGTTTGGACGACACAAATGACTAAAATATCCCTAATAAATTCACTTTAGAATCTTTTTGGTTCTTTTGTATAATCAAATCATTCAAATAATTTCACTTTGAAAAGACCCAGGGAAATAAAATAGGGGACAAAACTGATATTTTCCCTCCCATTTGTTGATGCGGTCATCTAAATCTCAATTCAACCATGATTGACGATTTTTTCAACGAAAATTTTAACAGGACATGTTTGATAATTTTTTCAAAGTAAAGGGGCATATTTGATGTAAAAAATAGTAGAGGGGTATGTTTGATAAAGCGTCATAGTAGAGGGGCATATTATACCTATACGGTTTCCCCCCGAACAATCGTCAAGGTTTCCCCCCGAGCGCCCATCGGAATGAGCCTCCACGCTTCACGCCGAGGAGAGCCGGGAACTTCACTGGACTCAACGACTCCGGGAAGAATGTTCTGCAGTATGTGAAGGACAAGGGATACCATCTACGCTGGCCTGGTCCCATGAGGGGGCGCCTGAATGAGCAGAACCTGGATAGGTATTGCGAATTCCACCGAGAGAGGGGTCACCACACGGTGGACTGTTACCAGCTGAAGTCGCAGAGGGATGCTGAGCGAGTTCGTGAGGAAGGGTGAAGACAAGATGCAAAGAACGTTCATGGCTCGGGAAGAAAGAAGAGATGTGCCCTTGGAGGGCGAGCTTGGGGGAAAGGAAGAGCTCATGGAAGGCGGGGCGCCCATGGCGGGCGAGGCTCTTCCCCCACCCCCCTTTGACGTCGAGCCCGAGACGAACCCGAGCCGGGTGCAGCTGACAATTGAAGCCATCATAGGTTCGATTGAACTGAGGCAGAAGCTAGAGAAAGGGAGACGTTTGAAATCAGTCACCGCGAGCACGAGGGAGGCGATCCAAATCCATTTCAACGAGGTGCTCGAGGAAGCCTGTCGAGTGCCCTCTGTGGAGGCGCTGGAGATCCGGGGCGTGGTGGCTGGATGCGAGGTGAAGAGGATGCTGGTGGACACGTGGAGCTCAATGGATGTGCTCTTCAGATCCACCTTTGAGAAAATGCAGTTGTCACCAAGCATCGTCAGGCCAACGGACTCG